GAAATTTGACAACTCTGAAAAAAAAAATAAGATTCCTAAGAAAAATTGCCTGAAATTTCAGACAATCTGACTAAAATAGTCTAATAAAATCAGCCTTGGGTAGACTTCTTTCATGCCTTCTCTCCCAAAGCCTCGGATTTATATTTGCCTGGGTTGAATCGTCAGTTTTCCAAAAAAAAAAAAAAAAAAAAAAAACTGGAAAATCAGTGCCTTGGTTTTAAAAAGGACTGATTAATCAGCCTACACCCTCGTTAATACGCTGATCAATCAGTGTACACTTGTAAATAATCGTTAAAATATCAGCCCATACATTATCCCCATGTCGGAAAAATCAGCCTTCCAACCCTAAATCAGCCTTTTTTTTGTTGAAATCTAAGGCCCCATTCTCCCCCACCCCAAAGATGACCACTCTTCGGGTGTTGCTGCATATTGCAGCGTAACACGACTACAAGCTCCAATCACTGAACTTCTCCACTGTGTTCCTTCATGATAGTTTTCACGAGCAGATATGGCTGCTCGACCCTCTTAGTTTCACTGTGTCGTCCCCCTCTGGCACCTAGTGCAACATTCGGCAGCCGGTCTAAAGTATGCGTCAGACTCCACATTACAAACTACGCTTGCTACTCTTGGCTTCTCTCCATCCTCTGCTGACCCTTCTGTCTTTGTCCCCTATAGCTTGTCGCCATTCTACGTCCTTGCCTACGTCGACGGCCTCATCTTTGCTACTCCCGACAGTATTGCACTAGCTTCAGTGAAGACCTAACAGTAGAGGATAAACACCTGCACTGACATGGGTGAGCTGAGTTGCTATCACAGCTTGCGGATTACCTAGAACAAAGAAGCATGCACCATCACACTGACTCAATCACACATGGTGCAACAAATCCTCGAGCAGTTTGACATTCAATTATCTTCTCCATATGCTACACCTCTTGCTGACGACCATAAGCTCACGGCTTCTGCTCCCCATGTGTCTGCTAAGCCTACTGGTCAGTACGCAGAGCTGGTGGGGTGCTTCATGTGCCTGATGATTTGCACTTTGTCCATATCTTGCATGCCCTCTCAGCATTCTTGCTTGCCTTGTGGCGTTTGGAAAACACAGACCCACTCACTGATCGACCACTAGTTATGCGCTTTCTGGTGAGCACGTCAGGCATGGGGCTTGTGCTTGGGGGGGGGAGATAGCCATCCAGCCTCTCTGGGCACACTGTCACGTCGTTGGTTGTTGTATCCAACGGTGAGGCAGATATCTATGCCGATGCTATGGCTATGCAGAAGCTACGCATGCTGACCTTTTTGCTCACTGACTTTGGTGAGCCGCCTTGTTCTACCTCGGACCCTGTTTGCTGATAGCAAGGTCATCATCCTCCTATGTCAGAAGCCTCGACTAGTGAGCAGGGCTAAGCACGTTCAGCTGCGGTGCTTCCTACTGCATGACTTAAAGCAGCACGGCTAAGCACGAGTGGTACATGTGGCCTCAGAGGTCAATACTGCTGATATCTTCACCAAGGTGCTTCACCCTCGTGATCATCAATAGTTTAATACACAGCTTGGTCTAATTACATGAGATTTGGACTAGAAATGACGTCGTGAGTTTGCTCGCTTGTTATTGTTGTTCAATTATTGCCTCTTAACTAGCCCAGGGTGTGTGTCAAAGTATATTTGAAATAGATTCTGTTATGCTAGGTTGCTTCGATTGAAGGACTCTATAGTGAGTACAACATTGTTGATATGAACAATGCATGTCCTTGTATTGGTCGTTCTGTTGTCTTACACTTGTAACGGGCGCATCGGGGCTATTAATAAGGGGTCGACGGGTAAGGCGTGCGCGCCATTGGAGGATTGGGGAGAGGGGTCGGTATTGGGGGGAGGAGGGTGGTGGGGTAAGCCAGTGCTTTGAATACCATGTAAAGTATCAACAAAGAATGTTGAAGGGTTAGGAAGTTGAGAGGAGAAAAGAGGGCAATATAAAGGGCAAACGATCCAAAAGGTAAAAGCAAGTGGTGAACTACCAACAGTTGGATAACTGCACTGGTTATGCCGAAGGGCATTATACATTTAAGTGTACACAAATTTTGACAACAGGACGTCCCTCCTCGAAGGCAATACATGCTACCCGTATTGTTGAGGAGTTGAATCGATGGATCATTGTCTTTTCAGTTCCCCACACATCCAACCAGTGGTCATATGCTTACTACGAGTTTTACGGCTGCCCAACCTAGACAAGAGGTTTGGGTCTCTGGGCGACCTCCTCTTCAGAAAAAAAGTTGGACATAGGTTTTCCAGGGAGGACGCTTACGACAAATAGCGCTTCACATCTCAGTGGAAATGTGTGACGTTTTGATTGAAGTGTATTTCGGATGATGAAGGTGTCAACACATATATTCATATGTTGTTAGTTATGCTAGGCTGTAGTGGGGCACTCCTTAGAGAGTACAATAGCTTTAGGTTACTTCTCGACACTCACATTCATGCTACCACCGTCCTAAGTCTTGGCTACTTAGTTTAGGATTCAAACATGGTATCAAAGCAGGTCCCGCTGTAGGACCTTTTTTTTTTAGGGCCCATCGTTAGCCTTTCCTTCTGCCCGTTTCTTCTACCTCGGCCTACCGAATCGCGCCATGTTGTCCGCTAGCACGGTTGCCCTGCCCTTCCCTCTGCACGCACGCACGTGCCCCGCTCGCACCGCCGCACGCGCGCTGCCTGTGCCCTACGCGCGCTCGACCTACGCGCTGCCCCTGCTGCCCGCGCTCTACCCGCACAGCCCTCACACTGCCCTACGCGGGCTGCCCATGCCCTTCGCGCGCTGCCCGGGCCTGCGCAGCCCTGCCCGCACGCTATTTGCGCTGCCCCTGCTACCCGTGCACCGCCCACGCTCTGCTCGCACAACCCGCACCCTGCCCTGCGCCGCCTGTGCGTGCCCTGTCAAGCCGCAGCTGCTGCCTGCTGCTGCCACCACTGCTGTCGGGCACTACCGCTGTTGCTGCCGGCCGCTGCCACACAGCCCTGTCTGCAAGCGCTGTCCTGCGCTGCCCTGCTCTCCCTGGCCGCCGCCAGCACTGCCCTGCACGCTGCCAAGCGCTTCCCTGCCCTGCCTGGTTGCCGCCAGCGCCGCCCTGCGCGCTGCCCAGCCATGCCCTGCCAAGCCGCTACACCCTTGCTGTCGCCGCTACAGCCCCTGCTATCGCCGCTGCATCCCTTGCTATCGCCACTACGGCCCTGTTACTGTTGTTTCAGCCCTGCTGCCGCCACTACAGCCCCTTCCATCGTCGATACAGCCCTGCTACTGCCGTTTCAGCCCTGTTGCCGCCACTACAGCCCCTGCTACTGCCACTTCAGCCCCTCCTACTGCCGCTACAGCCCCTACTATCGCCGCTACAGCCCTGCTACTGCCGTTTCAGCCCTGCTGCCACCACTACAGCCCTTGCTACTGCCACTACAGCCCCTACTACTGCCGCTACAGCCCTGCTACTTCTGTTTCAGCCCTGCTGCCGCCACTACAGCCCCTGCTACTACCACTACAGCCCCTGCTAGCTCCGCTACAGCCCTTCTATTGCCGCTATAGCCCCTACTGTCGCCGCTACAGCCCCGACGTATGCTCTAACAGCTGCCACAATCGCATCACCTCCCGCTCCAAATATTGCCGCTACGACTACCACCGTCACTCTTGCGCCGCTGCTGCTGATTGCTCCAGCTCGTCATGGCCACGCGTGTAGGTGCCTGTATGTATGCTCCTACATGTGGTGCTGCTGGTGGAGGCGAAGGTTCTGGGGGTGGACAGCAACGCAGGCTCTTCGTCAGGAGACTCTCTCGCCGCAGCAACTTTGTGAGTGGGTTATTCGGCAAGGCCGCTCTGGTTGGGGTGCTAGTGCTACAGGTAGTGGACAGCAGCAGTAGGCTCGTTGACAGGAGACTCTCTCGCCGCAGCAACTTCGTGAGTGGGTTATTCGGTGAGGCTGCTCTGGTTGGGGTACTGGTGCTACAGATAGTGGACAGCAGCGGCAGGCTCGTCGACAGGAGACTCCCTCGCCGCAGCAGCTTCGGCAGTGGGTTATTCGACGAGGCCGCTCTGGTTGGGGTACTGGTACTGGAAGTACTAGAGGTATTGGCCAACAGCGACAGGCTCGTTGACAAGAGACTCTCTCGCCGCAGCAGTTTTGGGAATGGGTTTCTCAGCGACGTGTCCCTGTTGGTTTAGAGGCTACTAGTTTAGGTGTCGTTGAGCCTACTAGCACAGGTGCAGCCCCTGCGGAGGATCTGCACACCTTCACGTTTGACTCAGGCGCGTCTCGCTTCTTTTTTTGCGACTGCACCATGGTCACACTGCTCACTACACCTGTCCTAGTCACTCTGGCTGACCCCTTTGGGGGCTCAGTAGTAGCACGTGCCTCCACCGTTCTCCCGTGTCTGACAGCACCTTCCGGCTCGCTTGGAGGTCTCCACCTCCCCTCGTTCACTACGAACTTGGTGAGTAACGCTGTCATCCAGGACAAGTTTGTCACTATAACTACTCCTGGGGGTGAACTTGTCGTGATCTGTACGGACTCACGAACTGGTGCCCACCTCGCCACGTTCACTCGGAGACCCGGGTCTGGCCTGTACATACTAACCATTGAGTCCGCACAGGTAGCTGCGTCAGGTCAGTTAGTTGTGTCTTGCTCGTGTCGAGTTCTCATGCACCAGACTCTTCTCTGGCACCACCGTCTTGGTCACCCCTCCCTGTCGCGTTTGCCTAGAATGCCCCCCCCCCCGTTTCCTTGTCACTGGCCTCCCCAAGTCCCTGCCCCCGCTTCCGTGCTCGCCTGCACCGCCGTGCCTTCCCTCGTCAAGGGGCGGCAACGCAACGCTCCTCACTCCTCCTCGTTCTCTCCGACATTGGACTGCTCCTCTGCAGACTCTCCACATGGACGTGTGGGGCCTCGGTCGTCGACTCTACTTTCTGCTGGTTGTTAACGACTATACGCGCTACACCACGGTTTTTTCCTTGCAGAGCAAGGCGGATGTTCCCAGTGTCTTGCTCCATTGGATCCGCGTTGTCCGCCGCCAGCTGCGCGTCCGGTTCCAGCAGGACCTCCTGGTCCTGCGTCTGCACTCTGACAGAGGTGAGGAGTTCTCCTCCCGTCTCCTTGAGGCTTTTTGTTGTGAGAAGGGCATCGTCCAGTCGTTTACGCTTCCGGCCTCTCCACAACATAATGGGATTTTTTATCGCCGAATTGGCTTGATCATGGAGGTTGCTGGCGCCTCCATGATCCATGCGGCTGCTCCCCATTTCCTGTGGCCGTTTGCGGTCCGATACGCTGCGCATCAGCTCAATCTCTGGCCCCGTGTCTCCGTGCCAGAAACTTTGCCTCCACTGCGTTGGACGGGGGAGGTTGGCGATGCGTCGGCGTTTCGGGTTGGGGGTTCGATGGCCCTTGTCTGCGATACCACCGCGGACAAGCTCTTCTCGCACCATTCGCTACGTCTTCATTGGCTTTCCCACCGACGCGCCTTGTTGGTAGTTTTACCACCCAGCCTCGCATCGCATCCTGTCCTCCCAGGACATCACATTCGACGAGTCGGTTTGCTTCTACCGTCTCTGCCGCCACCGCACTGCCCCTATTCCCCCTCCGCCTCTCTTTTCCTGGTTCCAGGTCCCCCCCCTAGTAGACACTTTCCCCCCACAATGTCCTGCTCCCTCAGGTGTGTCTCAGGTAGACCCACCCCCCTTGGTTGAGCCTTTGGAGGTCACCTCTAAAACCTGTGGCCCAGCTGAGGGGGGTGACGCTGCTGCAGACGACACTGCGGCCACTCGTCACTCACCGCGCTTGGAGACCCCTCCTGGTTTTCCACCTCGGCCGTCTTTGCCGCCTCTGCAACCTATTGATGTAGACTCCGGTGCTGGTAGGGGTGGTGATACTGGAGGTGCAGACTCTGTGAGTGGTGACACTGGGGGTGCTGTTTCTGGGGGTGTTGAGTGTCTTGGTGGTGGTGGAGTCGTTGGTGCTCCTGCTGGAGGTTCTGGGGGTGGACAGTAGCGGCGGTCTCGTCGGCATGAGGCTCTCTCGCCACATCACCTTCGCGAGTGGGTTATTTGGCGGCTCCGCCTTGGTTGTGAAATCAGAGGTGCTGGAGGTGCTAGAGGCACTTGGGCAGGAGGTACTGGCGCTGGAGGCACTGGTGTTGTAGGTTCTGGTGTTGGTGGTGCTGGTGCTGAAGGCGTTGGAGCTAGAGGTGCAGGAGGTAGTGGAGGCGCTGGAGGCGCTAGTACTGGAGGTACTGGTGTTGGAGGTGCTGGAGCTGTGGGTCCTGGTGCTGGCGGTGCTGGTGCTGGAGGCGCTGGTGCTGGCGGTGCTGGTGCTGGAGGCGCTCGAGCTTAAGGTACTGGTGCTGGATGCGCTGGAGCTGGAGGTATTCGTGTTGGAGGCACTAGAGCTGGAGGTTTGGGGGTGCTGGAGGCGTTGGTACTGGAGGTGCTGGTGCTGAAGGCGGTCTTGGTGCTGGAGCTACAAGAGTTGCCGGTGCTGGAGGCACTGGAGCTGTAGGTACTGGTGCTGTAGGTACTAACGCTGGAGGTGCTAGGGGTGCTGGTGTTGGAGGTACTTGAGCTGGCGGCTCCAGTACTGTGGGTATTACACAACGGCGTCCGCTTTTCTTGCCGCGGCCGCAGTCGTCACTACCACCACCTGGCTCGGTGCTTCGCCAGGTTCTTAGTCTTCCGTCTTCCACTGGCCTTACTCCTCCCTTACTGTGTCCACCACCTGACCCGTCTCAGGCACAGTTACCGCCGGACTCCCCACTGTCTGCTCCTTCTCCTTACACTGAGCAGCCAAACTCCTTGACGGAGCATCGTGAGCCTGCGTCCTGTTCTGCCTCACCTATTTGCACAGTTCGTCGTGCTCGTCGTGTTCCTCGTCCTTGTCCTCCACCAGTTCCCGACCCTCACAATATGACTTCGTCCTTCTTCTGTTCCACAGCGTGTTTCTCTACCGTCTCCTCTCGGCTCTTCCCTTCTTGACATTCCTGACCCTGAGTCTGACCTTGTTCGCGCTGCTCATCCTGCTATTACGCGTTTCGTGGCCACCCTAGTTACCGACCCTTACTTTGAGTCTGCTGTTGCGTGTGCCTTGGTCTCTGAGCTTGTTGACTTCGCCGCTACTTGTCGTCTAGACTAGGGATACGACAGTGTCGGTCAAGACGTGAGCGACTGTTTCACCTGCTCGAACGCCTACTACTGCGCTGGACCCCAAACGTACTCTACGCCCTTCCGAAGTAGGTCGGTGAGTGGACTAGCGATGGAAGCGTAACCCTGAACGAAACGGCGGTAGTATTTCGCAAATCCGATAAAGCTCTGCAACTCCTTGACCGAGGTCGTTGTCACCCAATCCTGTACTGCTGCGATCTTCTTCGGATCGGTCCTAACGCCACTAACAAAAACGACGTGACCTATAAATTCGACCTCTAGAAAGAAAAATGTGCACTTCGACTGCTTCGCGTACAGCTTCTCCCTCCGCAAGACCTCAAAGACCCTCTGCAAGTGCTGCATGTGCTCCTCTTTCAACTTTGAGAAGATCAGTATGTTGTCTAGGTACACGATAACGAACGAACCTAGGAACTCGGGTAGGATGGTGTTCATAAGCGTATGGACCATCGTTGGGGCATTGGTCAGTCTGAACGGAAGAACCCCAAGCTCGTACAACCACTGCTTCGTACGAAACGCCATCTTGTGCTGGTCCTTTGGAACTACGCGAATCTGATTGTAACCCGAACGAAGGTCGATCTTAGAAAAGACTCTAGCGCCCTGCACTGCATCTAGGAGATCCTCTACTCTTGGTACTTGGAACCTATTCTTGACGGTGGCGGCGTTCAGTGCGCGGTAATCTATGCACATCCGTAACCCTCCTTTTTTCTTAGGCGCGAAGAGGATCGGTGCTGCCCAAGGCGACCTAGATGGCTGTATGAACCCCTGTGCGAGAAAGTGCCTAACCTGCTGCGTCATCTCCTCTGTCTCTGCTGGACTCAACCTCCATTGCGGCTTCGCTACTGGCCTGCTTCCCGGCTCCAACTCTATTCGATGGTCGACTGCTCGGCTAGGAGGTAACCCTGGGAGCAACTCGTCGGGAACGACGTCTGCGAACTCTGCTCACAGTGCAGTCACCTCAACAGGAAGAGTCCCCTTCTCCCCAACTGCTGCTCTCCCTCCTTTTACTTCCTCAACTTCCACCTCCTCAAGGAAAACCGCGAAGATCCGTGCCGCTCGCTTCACCAGCTGTCGCACACGAACAGTATTGATAATCGTTGCATTTCGGCGCGTACGTTACGATTTGCCAACGTTAGTTGCTCGAGTTTGCGCATGAGCTCGGCAAATACGTTGCCCATGTCTTGGGGGAGAGCGTTCATGGTCTCGTCCATGTTGGAACGACGACTTCAAGTCTGCAAGTCGACATCGCGGGACGATGACGGCGTAGTCTCGTCGTCGACGGTCGCTCATTGGAAGTCGTTCCTCGTGAAGGCTCTTGATACCAAGTGTTACGCCCGCTGGCCTAAGTTCGCTAAAGAATAAGTGGGGTCGACTAAGTCAAGGATGAAACGCGATGGAAGACTTTGACGAAAGCGAAATAGGCGAAAAGGTTACTCGGTAATTGAATAGTTTAATGTCAATTTGTTGAGAAATGTTTGATATTGAAGAAAACAAGCAAGCATTAAATAATAAGCAAGAACGACAGTCGGAAAGTACTTCGTCGGACTAGGAATTGTAAGGCAAGAAAAGTAGAGTGCCACGTGGTACTTGGAAATCTTGAAAGATAAGGTTGGATGAGTTGGGAAAGTATTATTCGGGATGAACAGTAAAACCTTATGTAACATGTATTTAGCCCCCCTGTAACATGTATTTAGCAATCACAGTGTACAATGGGAGAGGAGACCGGTGTGGGGTTGGTGTCTGCTTTTTGCCCGCGGGCAGCGAGCTCCCCCAGGCGGACTCGCTTTTCCGCTGAGATACACCTGATGCTCACCTCCTGCACGCAAAATTGTCTTGCAGCGGATGGAAACCTTGCACCCGTGGGTTTTGTGCCGTAAAGTTACACCCACGTTACAAGCACGTCGACCAATACGAACCACAGAAACTGAAGTTTGACTGACGAGACCAAAGTCAAACAGTCAGCGTTGAGTTACAATTGTTTTTTATAAGCCCTTTTTGCCCGATGCGAATTGACGAAATCTTCAAGCGAAGCAAGAATCGCTTATAAGCCCAAAGGGTAAGGCGAGGTCTGGGGGCTCAAACGGGCATCGTGTGTATATTCGGCGGTTTTGGTCCCATCCAATCTAACCGCTTGCGTGGGCAGGTAGGAAATTCGCTACAGTCGAGTGGATTCGATCGTATAACTGTTCTGGCAGCTTTTAGGTGCGATCAGAATCATTGGCACGTGTAAACAGAGTTTGCATTTGAGGAAGAAAACCAAAGGCAATGCCACCTTGGCGTGCCAGGGTGGCATGGAACAACATCTCTCCTCCACTCGTAATCGTGGACATGCAGCATGGACGGGTTACCCAGCATTGGCACCTCGAATTCCTTCGGCAGACACTGAACGGAGTTTGAATTCCTCTCCTCACCTCACCTCGCTCCGCAAATTCCGTGTTGATTGTGTTGCGAATGCAATGATCCCTGGGTCAGCACTGAACTGTGCACAAACATGAACGCCAAACCTGGGCCCTGATCGGTAGCCCTAACTCCGAGTAAGCCTTGGTCGCGTTGGCCTGCTCGGGGGGGTACACGAGCGTGCACGTGTCGGTGGGTTTTTCCCATCTCCTGCTGTAACTTTCCCAATTCTGGCGGGTGATCGGTTCGCCCCTGTTACTCCGAGTTGGGAAGTTGCGGGGGTGGGGGGTGCGATTTCGTGTGTCTCACTGTTGCGTGCAGCCCAGACTGCCCCACACGCCACCAAACAAAAAAATTTCGGCACTGGGAATACCGTGGCTCCAAAATGGCACCATCAACCACCGGGACGGGAAGATTTTACCGCGTGCTTCGAGGTAGTCCCGGTAAAAAAAAAAAAAAACAATTCGTGGAGCCATCCCGAGTAGCCAGTTGGGTTTACCCATCGATGCCTAACTCCGAGTAGCCAGGAGTACTCCTCCAAAAACGTGGAGTTGTGGGAGGCACAGCTCGGAGTAAACTTTGCCCGTGTCGGAAGCATACCGGAGGGTTCGGTGGAGTCGTACTCCGAGTAATGCTAACTCCGATCGTTCGGCCCTTTTTGCTTACTCCGAGTAAGCCACGTAGGTGTGACTGTATCAGACACACGTGCGAAGGGGGAGTTAGTGAACCCCCACGAAACCCACCAACTCGGAGTGAGAGGGCTACCGATCAGGGCCCTGGAAACAGCACAATGTGGAAATTTCTAATGCGAGTCACCAATGACACCGCCATCCTGCTCATGCTGGCTGCCGTGCACAGTACACACACGTATTGCAGCAGCCTTGAATTTCATTACAAAAATCTTTTATTACAGCAGCTCTGTACTGTATGGTCTTGTTCTCCTCTACGGGACCTGGATGGCATGGCATATCCTCCACCTCACACTTGCCTCGAGTTTGGGTTTGGCACACGGAAGTTCGAAGAATCCCTCTGGGTCAATAGGCATAATGAGCTCGCCAGTGCGATTCCGTGACTGTCAGCGTGTTCGCACCTCATCTCTCCTCCACCAGTTCCGGCTCTTCTTTCTCCATCTCAAACCCTAGGTTTCGTTGTGTCACTTACCGTCGCTCAAATCAGCGTCTCTCACCTCTGCGCATGGTATGTTAAGCGATGGCGGACGTCGCCACGTGTGCAGCTCCGCCGATAGACCACACGCATTTGCACCAGCACGCGCAGCTCTCGCAGCACCATTCCCCCCAGCAGCAGGGTGCAGCCACAGGATCGCGCGGAGGCCACTTGACCCGCCGACTGCTAAGCCTCGCTTTGCCACTCCGCGCGGCTACCAAGCGCACCATGCCCCCCGGCGATTCGCCCAGACGGCGCTGGGTGGTGGAAGTGCCTCTGTCGATCGCTCTCAACGCCACCGGCGACCGCGAGTCGACGGCGGCAGTGGGTCGATGCGTGGAGGACGCGTGGACTGTGGTGCAGCGCGCCGTTGCTGACGTGGCTCGGCAACAAGCCACGTCGCAGGTTGTACTGGTGCTGGTAGCGGTGGTGCCATCGTCGGCCGCGGGGACCCCCAGCGAAGGGGATAAGGGGGAGGAGGGGAAGCAAGGCGGCGAGCGCGAGGGGGAGGAAGGTTTTGAGGCGTCGGTGGTGCAGCGCGTGCTCCGACCGCTGGTGCAGCGAGCGACGCGAGCCAAGGTGCGTCACGCAGGTCAAGGTGCGTCACGCGGGTCAAGGTGAATTCTGCCAGGAAAACCTCCCCGCTCGCATTTCTGTCACGTTCGTCTCATTTCCTTCCCGCGCCAACGGGCGTCACGTTCTGATGCCCTTCCTTCACCCCCACCCCCCCCTCTCCCCCTCCCCCTTCCCCCCTCCCTCTTCCCGGCCCCTGTGCCCCGCCACCCACGTTACCTCGCAGGTGCTGGCCGCCTTCCACGTGGAAAGGGCAGCGTCGCAGGCCGGAGCTGGCAGTTCACGGTTGCCACATCAGCAGCAGCGTGTGCACGGCGTGTGCACCGCGGCGCGCCACTTCGACGCGGCGCGTGTGTACCTGCCATCCAACCTCTTCACCGCATCCAACGTCGTGGACTCCGCCGCTGAATCTTCGGCTGAATCCGCCGCTTGCCAGGCTTCACAGGCAGCAGAATCGCCCCACGCAGCCCTCGCGCCTCCCCCGTCGCCTGCGCTGATCCGCGCGCTGCTGCCCCCCCAGTGCGCGCTCATCATGACCGCCTCCGCGCGCCATCAGCCCGACGGGGCGAGAATAAGCGGGGGGGCGGTCGGTGAGGTGGGGCGGGGGGGAGCAGGCCTCCGCGACGGCAGTGGAAGGCGCGAAGGGTTAACGGCGGTGGCAGGCGCCGATGACTTCCACGGCGATCTGTTCCCGTCGCCCTCTCACAACACAGCAGATGGTGACGATGGTGCTGCTGGTAGTGTTGTTGGTGTTAGTTTTGGTGTTGTTGCTAGTAGTGACGGTCGTGGTGGTGGTGGTGGTGGTGGCGCTGCTGCTGCTGGCTCTGCACGTGCCGCGTTGGGCGAGGAGGTAGGACGGCGGGGAGGGGCTCGCGGTGGTAGTGTTCCGCCCGCCGCCATCGCACGGGCGCGCCCGCAGCAGCTGACCGCACAGGGGCCGACGATGTTGCAAGGCCAGGGGCAGGCGCAGGGGGTGGGGAGAGAAGCAGGCGGAAGCGGCGCAGGGACGGCGGGGGAGATGGTTTTCGCGGAGCGGATGCGGAGGGCGCAGGAGGAGCGCGGTGCGGTGATGAGAGGCGACGGCGGTGACAGGGTGAGGCCGGGGGAAGGCGATGGAAGGGTGGCGGGGGGGAACGGCGGAAGTGCGCAGTGGCGCTTACAGAACTCCGCCATGCCGCTGCAGCGCCGTGGGGTGGGAGGAGCGCACGACGGCGGCGGCGCGGCTCGTAATGCTGGACGGGAACAGCCTGTGCAAGGACGCGCGTTAGCGGATAGGCTGTCGGGGGCGGGGAACTCGAGGAGTGGGCCGCTGCCGGCTGTGTCGACAACAGAGCGCGGTGACGGTGGCGTCACGTGCGATGCTGGGGCGGAGAGGAGGGGAGGCCGCAGGATGGGTTCGCGGGGGCATGGGTGCGGAGCAGGATAAAGAGGGCGGAGTAGTGAGACAGGTAGGCGGCGCTGAGCAGTCGACAGGGGGCGCGCGGTCGGGGCCATTGCAGCTGTTGGGTGCCTCCACGCAAGGGTGGTCGCAACCTGGGAAGCAGCTGCTGCAGCCGCAGCAGGGGGTGCAGCAGCGGCAGGGTAAGGAGGAGCGTGAGCGGTGGCAGGGTGTGTTAGCGGGAGTGGGCGGCGGAGAGGCATGGGTGGAGGCGGCGGAGGTGGATTCGCAGCTGACGCAGTGGCTGCTTGGAAAGGCGGCGCCCGCGCCCCTGTCCCCGTCCCCGTCCGTTCCCCCGCGCCCGTCTCACTCTCTCAGCGCAGGCCACGGCATACCGTCGCCCCTCTCCTCCCCGGCCCCCGCATACCCCGCCTTTGTACCCGCCAGCCACACCATGCCGATAGGCCCGTCGCCCCCGGGCCACGCCATTCCCCCATCCGTCTCCGCTCCCCCGGGTGCGCCCATGCCGGCTCCCTGTGCGGGCACCGCGCCCGCCACCCTTCCGCACGCCGCACAGCGCGTACCAGGGTCAGGGAGTGGCAGTATCAGCGGCAGGTACGGTGAAGAGCCTGCCGATCCCGCGGCGGGTGCGGGTGCAGGCGTGACAGCTCACCAGTCCCCCGCCACCGCTCCCCCTTCTCTTTCCCCGTCGCCCCTCGCGGCCCCCCGTTCCCCCTGGTCTCTCCCGCGCGCTCCCCGTCTCCCCGCCGCCACGCCGCTCCCCGCCGCGCCTCCGCCGGTGGTGAAGGAGCGCCCCAAGGGCGGGCTGTTCCAGCGCCGCCAGCTCAAGCGCGGTGGCAGCGAGGGCTGCCGCAGCGTTCTCGACGCCGTCGCTGTAGCCTCCTCCGCCCGCTCCCCCACCGTTCCCCCTTCCGCGCATTCCTCCTCCGTGCTCCCCATCTCCCCCATTTCGCCTCACACCTTCTCCGCCTCACTCTCCGCCGCCGTCTCCCCCATCCGCGCGGCACTCTCCCCGGATCCTTCCACCGCCGCCGGCGCGGCACCTGGCGCGCTCATATGGGGCGGGGAAGTGTTTCCGCATGGGGCGTGGAGCGGAGGGGGCGCGGCAGGAGTGACTGGGGAAGGGGGGAGCGAGGAGCGCGAGAAGGGGGAGCGGGAGATGGCGGGGCGGCAGCTGGTGGTGCAGGCGCGGGAGGTGGAAAAGGGGGAGGGTGCGCGCAAGGGGCCAGGGGGGGCTGGGAAAGGGGAGGTGGAGGAAGAGGTCGAGCGGAGGAAAGCGGCAGCTTGCCCGAGCAAAGGGGAGGGCGAGGGGGCACGAGAGGTGGTGGCGGCGGCGGCGGCGCGGCGGTGGCTGATGGACGAGCTGGCTGCGCTGGGGGTGGACAGCGGGGAGGAGAGCGGGGCGGGGGAGGGGGAGGAGGAGGGGGAAGGGGAGGGCGCAAGGGAGAAAGGCGCGCGGGAGCGGGGCGTGCGAGTGAGCGGGCTGGAGAGGCGCGTGGTGAGCCGGCGGTCGCCCACAAGAGAGCAGTGGGCGGACGAGGTGAGTCCCTGCTGCTGTTGTTCCTGCGCTCCCTCTTTCTGTCTGTGCATCTGCGCATCCCCTCCCTCCCGCCCCCACCCATCCCCTCCCCCCTCTTGCTGGCTTCTCCACTCTGTGCGCCGCTTTCTCGCCCCCACGCACGCGCCCTCGCTCCTCAGCCATGTCTGTACCTCCAGTCCCCTTCCCCCTCCCCCACTGCCCTCTTCTTACATTCCTCTCCTCCTTTTTTTTCTCTTTTTTTCTTTCTCCCCCTCCTCGGTTTTCCCCCGGCTTCCCTCTCCTCTCGCTTTCCCCATATCCCTCCTCCCCCCCGTCCCTGCCGTTACAGCGGAATCCCAGCCGCCTATCACGCTCCTCGCTCTCCCTGCCGCGCCACTCCGTGCCGCTGCCCGCCCAAGTGACCCCCCCAGCACCCGCGCCTGCCGTCGGCTCCTTCTCGGGTCCGCTTCGCCTGGGCGCCGCCAATACCGCGGGTAGCGCGGGCGCCGCCAGCAGCGCGGGCAGACGGGCGGCGGGCACAGGGGAGCGGCAGGGCGAAGGGGGAGCGGGAAGGGAAGGGAGTGAGAGGCAGCGAGCGTGGGAGGGGGCAGCAGGGGGGGCGGGCGAGGAGAGCGGGGAGGGAAGGGGGATTCGGGAGCAGCAGGTGAACGCGCATACTGGCGGCAGTGGTGGCGTTGATGGTGCCAGCGGGGATGGTGGCGGGGGTGCGTCCAGCACGTTGCTTGAGCGCCCGCCCTCCCCCGCTCCCTGGGTATGTTTCGCCCATGCGCGCCCGCTGTGACTGCCCATACGAGTCTGCTCTGACTGTCCCTCACGGCATGCCATCCCGCACGCTATCCCACACCTTGTGTTGTGCAGTCCCCTCAATGTCACTCTGTCATCCGCGTCTCACACTCCTCTCACCCTCCCCTCCTCATTCTTCTCCCCCCGCTGCCCCTGCCAGGTCCCTCGCCCCGGCCAATCGTCCGCGCGCCTTGCCCGCACCAGCAGCAGCATCTCCTCCGCTGCGCGCCCACCCTGCGCTGCTGCCCCGGGGGGACGACTTGGGGGCAGCACAGGCGGGAGCACAGGCGGAAACGCAGGCGGAAACCCAGGCGGGAGCATGGGGGGGCCCATGGGGACAAACATGGGGGGGAGCATGAGCGGCAGTTGGATCAATCCAAACATGCGCACAGGCACAGCTGCGGCGGGGGGGAGGGGGGTGGCAGGGGCGGGGAGGCAGGGACAACCGGGCATGGTGGGATTGCGACGGCCAGCAACAGGAGCAGGCAGCGTAGGCAGTGTAGGGAGCGTAGGCAGCACGGGCATGAGGGGCAGCATAGGCGGGAGGAGTGCGAGCATGGAGGTGGCGCGCGCGCGGCTGCTGGCAGAGGATGCGGCGCTCACAGACGCCATCCTCACAGGCGCCCTCATGCCGCCCCCCGCCTCCTCCTCCTCCTCCGCCTCCCTGCGCTTCCCCCAGCGCGCGCAGCAAAGCAGCACCGCCAGTGCTAGCAGCAGCGGCGGTGGCATGGTTGGTAGCAGCGTTGGCGGCAGTCACAGCATCAGCGTAGTGATTGGGCGGCGTAGCCTTGACTGCAGCGGCAGTAGCAGCGGCGTGGTGCTGCAGAGGCAGGGCAGTGCGGCGCTCAAACGACAGGGTAGTATGCGGCAGGGCATGGCACAGGCCGGCACGGCTCAAGGCGGTATGGGTCAGGGCGGCAAAGGGTTGAACAGGCAAAGCAGCAATGCCTCCCACAGGCTCAGCAGCAGCACGGGCATGAGAGCCGCAAGCAGCACACGCAAAACCACCACCCCTACCACCCCGACCACTCCCACCCGCCCCACTGCGCCCACTACCCCCACAACCCCCACAGCCACCAGCATTGCATCAGCAGCAGGCAGTCCCCTCAACAGCACTGCCACCACCCCCACGGGCGGCAGCGGCAGAAGCAGCGGCAGCGGCAGCGGCAGGAGCCCGGCGCGGCTGCCAGCAGGGCAGCGGTCGCGTGTGTTCACCCCCGCAGACCTCGCCCGTGCCACCGACAACTTCCATCCGTCCCGCCTGGTGGGGTCGGGTGCATACGGCCCTGTGTTCCGCGGCGCCATCCACGGCTGCGACGTGGCCGTCAAGCGCCTGAGGGCGCGCGAGGGGCGCGCGCGCAGCGAGGGCAGAGAGGCGTTCAAGCGTGAGGTGCAGGTGCTGAGCCGCGTGCGCCACCCCAATGTGGTGCTGCTCATGGGGTGCTGCCCGCAGGACCTGTCGCTTGTCTACGAGTTCATGGCGGGGGGAGCCTGCAGCACCGCCTGGCAGCGCAGCACAAGCGGGGCGCGCAGGAGCAGGAGAAGGCAGCGAGCAGCGGCGGCAAGTCCCCGTCCTTCTCCTCCTCCTCCTCATCCGGACAGCTCTCCTCCCTTTCCCCCGTGTCCCCTGTGTCCCCCGCCCCTGCCTCCCCCATCACCCCATCGCCCCCCCCACTGCCATGGCACGACCGCCTGCGCATTCTCTCCGAAGTGGCCTCCGCGCTGCTGTACCTGCACCGCTGCTCGCCGCCCATCGTGCACCGCGACTTAAAGCCCGACAACATCCTGCTGGACGCGCATGGCACCAGCAAGATCGCGGACGTGGGGCTGGCATGCCTGCTGCGAGACGGCAGCACGGTGGTAACCACACACCGCATGCGCGGCACCGTGGGATTCATCGACCCGGAGGCCATTGCATGTGGCGAGCTCTCCCCCGCCTCCGATGTGTATGCGCTGGGGGTGGTGGCGCTCATGCTGCTCACTGGTGCCGACTCCCCCAAGCACGTGCACCGCCTGCTCGCCCTCTGCCCCACTACCATCTCCTCCCCGCCTCCCCCCTCCCCCACCACCCCTCACGCCACCGCTGGCACCGACGCTGACAGCGACCCGCCTCTGACTCCCAGGAGCGCCCAGCCGGCGGCAGTGCCCACACGCGACCTGCCCCAGTCAGTGGCTATCCTGCAGCCGCACCTGGACACGCTGGCGGGCACGTGGCCTGCTGAGGTGGCGCAGCGGGTGCTGCGCGTGGCGGTGAAGTGTGTGGAGCGGGATGCGCGCATGCGGGCTGACCTGGCGGGGGAGGTGGTGCCCGTCTTCACTGAGGCGGCTGCTGCTGGTCGGGCCGATGTGACGCGGCGCAACGATGCCCTTGAGAGTACCCTCGTGTGCCCACTCTCCAAGGTACTGTCAGGGTGCTGTTGTGTGCTGTTGAAGCTACTGTGTGGTGCTGTTTCAGGTACCACAGGCTCGTTCCCTTGTCATTCTCCAGTGCTGCATTCCTCGCTCTACCCCTCTCTCCTTCCTCACCATCTCGCTCACTCGCTTCCCGTCTTCTCCCCCCTCTCCCCCTCCCTCCCCCCCTTCAATCCACACAGCAACGCATGCAGGACCCGGTGATAGCAGCGGACGGGTTCACATACGAGCGCCGCCACATGGAGGCGTGGCTGGCGTCGTCGCTCCTCTCGCCCTCCACCGGCCAGCCCCTGGCCCACCCGGGGCTCACCCCCAACCACCTGCTGCGCTCCATCATCCTGGGATCCCAGGGCACCCAGGCTAACCGCAACTGAGGCATCATGCAGGGCAGCAGCTGCTGAGGCACCATGAAAGGGTGAGGCATGGTGGAGGAAGGGGTGAGCATGGTGGGCGAGAGCACGAGGTGAGGTGCTGTGCACGGCAGCAAGCATGGGTCGCTTGGATGTGGTGCGGGGTGCAGTGGAGGGGTGGAGGAACTGGAAGGGTGAAGAAGTGGAGTGGGGGGAGTGGAGGAGAGAATGGAGGAGAGAAGTGGAGTGGAGGGGTGAAGGGGGAGTGCAGATGGGGTGAAGTGGAAGCATTCGTTTGTAGCACCTGCACTCTCTTTTGCACTGCAATGGATTGGATACGTGTTTTGATGGCAGATGCTAAATTTGCCAGCTCAGCCTTAGGTATTAGTGAAATATGTCTTGTATTTATTCAAGTTTATGAAATAATAGTGGTGCTAATAAACTACAGATGGAACATTTTCCAGAATTACTGTATCACAGCACACGTGCGCTGCTCCGCCTCCTGCTCTGCAGTGCGCCCCCCGCGTGTTCACTCCCTTTCCCCCACCAGCCGCCAATCTAGCTTTCGCCGCTTTCTCCCTATTCCCACCGCCCTTCTCCATCTCACCCCCTCTGGCACTGCCATCTCACCCCCTCTGGCACTGCCACGTCTCGCGTCGCACCCCCCTGTTTTCCGTCCACTCTCCTATCCGTAGACTCCTTTTGCTGTGGCCCCTTTTTCCCGCCCCCGCGGCGGTCCCCTTTTCCGCACCGTCTTTCCCTCCTCTCGCTCCCCGCCTCTCCTCCCAAATTTGCGCGCATCTCATTCGCGGGCGTTCCGCATTCCGCGAGTCGTCGCTCCCAGCGCGGCGCGCCTGCGCCTTCCGGAACGATGAGTGCCCCCTCGCCGCCCGTCGTGCCGCCTGCCACCCTGCCTGCCGGCGGCGGAGCGCGGCGGGGGGAACGGCGCCGGGAAGGCGCGCGGGGAAGCAAGAATGACGCCTCCGCGGATTGGAGCGAGATTGTGGAGGCGGGGGAGGGGCGCGCTGTCGGGGGTAATTCGCGCAGCAGAGGCGCACAGCGATGTATGATCGGGGGAGGGGGTGGTGCGGGGAAAGAGGGGCGGGGCGAGGGGCAGTTGGCGCGGGTGCGCGAGGGGGGTTGTAAACGCGCCTGGGTTGGGCTGGGTGAGCGGGTCGGTGGGTGGGTCGCAGGAGTGTGAGTCGCTGGCTGTGGTGGGCGGGGGAGAGGCGAATGGTTGCCGCCCGCATGGCCGTGTGCCATGCCATGCCGCCTCTTTCACCCTCTTCTTACACTCTGTCCTTCTCCCTTCTCTCTCTCTCCCTCCCTCCTCTCCCTTCCCCCCAACCCATTGCCTGTCCGCAGCGCCCATCTCACCGCGCTCCCCCACGCGGGAAGCAGTGTCTCCGCGTCACTCGACGCAAGCGCCCCTTCCCCCCCGCCCCGGCCCCCCTCGCCCTTTTTCCTACAACCTGCGTCTTTCTTGCGCGCTTTCCCCCGCCCACCCGCTCCTCACCAATCCGCGCGCCCTGCTGCTCGCTCTGCTCCTCGCTGGGGCCCTCGCTCTGCTCGCCCTCCTGCTGCCCTCCGTATGATTTTCTGCTCTGTCTTGCCCTGCCGTGCCATACCATCATGGTATGGCATGATGCCGTGCCGTGCCTTGCCGTGCCGTGATGCCAGTCTGTCAGCATTTCGCTGCCATGCCGCCTGTTTGTGCTGCCACCGTTGTGCTATTTTACATCACTCTGCCGCAATCACACCATGCTGCTCTGCTTGCTCCACCGCACCATTCTTTCTTTCCTCTCACTTCCTCCCATCGTCTCATCCACCCTCCATCGTCTTACCCCCTCCCATCGTCATAGCACCTCGTTCGAAGCTACCCCGCACTCTGCCGCTGCAGGCACCACCCTTGGGTACTGCCCTCCCTCGCTCCCACCCCATTGCACATGTTACCTCCCACCATCCCCATGCCTCATTCTCTTTCCGCACCTCCAACCTTCCATCCGTCCCACCCTCCATCCTACCATCCCCAGTCCGTGCGCCTTCCTGCCACCCATCTCGCTCTTCTCTCCCTCTCCCCCTTCCCCTCCCCCCGTGCACCCTCTCCTGTGTTTTCCCACGCGCCCCTGCCTGCAACCCCCTGCAGCACCACGCACCAGCAGTCGCGGCTGTGGCAGCTGCTGCAGCGGCAGCAGCACCTGCACGCACAGCAGGCGTGGGGGCGACTGCACCAGTCGCTGCTGCTGCCGCTGCACCACCGCTTCTCCCGCTGGTCGCTCTTCACCTCTCTCTTCCACGTGCGTGCGTCTCTGCTCTGCACTCTGCTCTGCACTCTGCTCTGCACTCTGCTCTGCACTCTGCTCTGCTCTGCACTCTGCTCGGCGCTGCATTTGCATGTGCCCTGGCCGCTGGTTTCCAATGCTCCCTGTCCCGTCACATTCTGCATTTTCCATCTCTTCTCCCCTCCTTTCTTCTCACCCCCCCACTACATTATTTTCTCTTCTTCTCTTTCTCTCCTCCTCCGTGCGCTCTCCCTTTCCCCGTCAGCACGTACGTCTGGGAGGGGAGCGACTTCTCTATGTCAACGGCTCTTTGCCCCCCTCCGCGCTCCCCCCCTCCGCGCTGCCCTCCCCCTCACTGCCGCGCTCCCCCTCCCCTTGGCTCAACGTGGGGGGGAGGCTGGAGGAGTGGGGTGGGGGTGAGGGGCAGTGGCGGCGGGTGGCATGGAGGGGCGTGAGGGAGAGGGCAGCAGCGTGTGTGGCGCTGAGAGACACATTTGATACCGCCAGGGAAGAGTATCAGCGCGCACTGCAGCTTTACCTGCACTCCCTGCTCCCCCCGCTCCCCCCCCCTTCCCCCTCTTCTCCTCCCCGCCGCCCTGACCCGCCTCCCTCTGCTCTGCGCTCCTCCCTCTCCGCCCTGCGCCAGCGCCTGCTTACCGAGTGCGCTTATAGAGGGGACGAGCTGGACCTGCCAGCAGAGGAGCGAGGGACGCTCAGGCTGAGGGAGGAGGAGAGGAGGACAGGCGGGGGGAAGGGGGGGAGGGGGAGCGAGGGCAACGGGAGAGGCCGGGAGGGGGTTTGCTAGAGGCAGACGGGGGGAGGCGGTGCAGGGGGGGCGAGCAGGGGAGGGAGGCGCGGGCGTGTGTGGGGGTGAGGGCGGACGTGTCTGTGTGGCAGCGGCGGTGCGAGCTGTTCCCACAGGCGGCAGTGGGCATGTCGCTGCTGCTGCAGTACTTCAAGCAGCCCTCCAACGTGCACCCCCTCGTCTCTCGCCTGCACGCCTGCACTGCCAGTGGCAGTGGTGCTGCTGCTGCTGGGAGCGCGGGGGAGCAGCAAGGGCATGGGAGTGGGGGTGGGAGCGGGGGCGGGAGCGGGGGTGGGGGGGCAGGAGGGGAGGCGTGGGTGGGGCTGGGGGGCGAGGTGAGTTGGGATGAGCGAGGGGCGGGGAAGGGAGGAGGTGCAGGGGGGGGGGGAGCGGAGGATGGCAGCATGGCAGGGGGGGTGGGCGGTAGCGCGCAGGCGGGGTGCAGGGTAGAGCTGACGGCCAATGTGGACGAGCCCTCCTCCTGGCCGCTCTGGCTGCAGATGTGGCAGGACACGGGGGGAGGGCAGGGAGGGCAGGGGGGGGAGCAGGGGGGGCAGGGACGGCAGGGGGGAGGGCAGGGAGGGCAGGGGGGGCAGGGGGGAGGGCAGGTAGGGCAGGGGGGGCAGGGGGGAGGGCAGGTAGGGCAGGGGGGGCAGGGGGGGCAGGGGGGAGGGCAGGTAGGGCAGGGGGGGCAAGGAGGGCCAGGGGAAGGGCAAGGGGGTGGGCAGGGGGGTGGGCAGGGGGGTGGACAGGGGGGTGGGCAGGGGGGTGGGCAGGCAGTAAACCACTGGGGAGGGCTGTCGCTGCCACCGCTGCCGAGTCAACCCGGCACTGAGCAGATCAACACCACACTCGCACCCCCCTCATATCCCCCCTCGCCCTCTCCTTCATGCGGGCATCATGGCTGCACGCAACACCCCTCCTTCCTGCGCGTCATCTTCCGCCACAACACCCACGAGGTCTTCGCATTCAACCGCGCCGCCTCCTCCTCCCGCGCGCCCCTGCTCGCCCTGCTCCAAGACGACCTGCTCCCGCCCGCCTCCTGCCGCTGGCTGCACGCCATCCTGCACGCCCACGCCGCACAGCCGTCCCTCGCAGCACTGGGGTACCGCACAGGCAAGGTGGACGTGGACAGCAGAGGGGGCGAGGGCGTGAGGGCGTACCAGAGACAGAGCCGGGCGCTGTGGGCGCAGCCAGCATGGGCGGCGCGGGCGGGGGTGCGGGGGTACATGGCGGGGGTGGTGGACTCGGGGCCGCTGGTGGTGCGGCGGGGGGTGTGGGAGCGCATGGGGGGGTTGGATGAGGGCATGTCCACCAGAGGGCAGAGCGCCATGGTTACTGACTGGGTACTGGCGTTCCATGTGTGGATGGGTGGATACAAGGTGCGTGCATGGGCCATGCGTGCATGCATATGCTCCCGTGCTGCTGCTGTGCTGCTCATGTGCTGCTGCTGTGCTGCTCATGTGCTGCTGCTGTGCTGCTCATGTGCTGCTGCTGTCCTGCTGCTGTCCTGCTGCTGTCCTGCTGCTGTCCTGCTGCTGTCCTGCTGCTGTCCTGCTGCTGTCCTGCTGCTGTCCTGCTGCTGTCCTGCTGCTGTCCTGCTGCTGTCCTGCTGCTGTCCTGCTGCTGTCCTGCTGCTGTCCTGCTGCTGTCCTGCTGCTGTCCTGCTGCTGTCCTGCTGCTGTCCTGCTGCTGTCCTGCTGCTGTCCTGCTGCTGTCCTGCTGCTGTCCTGCTGCTGTCCTGCTGCTGTCCTGCTGCTGTGCTGCTGCTGTGCCGCTGCTGTGCTGCTGCTGTGCTGCTGCTGTGCTGCTGCTGTGCTGCTGCTGTCCTGCTGCTGTGCTGCTGCTGTGCTGCTGCTGTGCTGCTGCTGTGCTGCTGCTGTGCTGCTGCTGTGCTGCTGCTGTGCTGCTGCTGTGCTGCTGCTGTGCTGCTGCTGTGCTGCTGCTGTGCTGCTGCTGTGCTGCTGCTGTGCTGCTGCTGTGCTGCTGCTGTGCTGCTGCTGTGCTGAGCTCCTTGCTGCTCCTGTGCCCTCACTCCCTCCCTCCTGCATTGTGCCTCCATCTTCCGCTACTGTCATCAAACCCAACCTCCGTTTTTTAGGCGCCTCAAAAGTCGCCACCGTCATCAAGCCCAACCTCCATTCTTACCCCCCGTCTCCTCGCACACCCACCTTTCTTCCCTCCCACCCAATTCCCCTCCCTCCCTCGTCCCCATGCCCTTTCCCCCCGTCCCCGGCCCCCTGGCAGGCGCTGCACATGGCATGGGAGAGGGGGCAGGGCATGGAAGCAGCGGGGCAGGGGGGCACGCACAAGGGGGGGCAGCGGGTGGTGAGGCAGATGCAGAAGGTGGTGGGCATGGGGCAGTTTCAGCGCCACACCGTGGACGTGTATAACCAGCGCCAGCAGCTCGAGGTGTACCGTGCTAACCTCATGCTGCCGCTGCTGGACGTGTGGCAGTGACGGTTGCTAGTGACGGGCAGAGGGCGGTGAGGTGAGGCAGTTTCAGCGCCACACCGTGGACGTGTACAACGGGCGCCAGAAGCTCGTGGTGTACCATGCCAACCTCATGCTGCCGCTGCTGGACGTGTGGCAGTGATGGGCGGCAGTGAGCAACATGATGGGCAGTAGTGATGGGCGGCAGTGAGCAGTGAGAGGGAGCTGAATGGTTCTACAGAAGCTGTGTGTGTTGCAGCTGAAGGCTGAGGCAGGGGGATGAGTGCGGCTGTGATGCTGATTCAAGCGGCTGCTTTTCTGCCCGACCACCATGCTACAGCAAACCCAGCACAGCGTCGGCCTTTGGAACATCCCGACTCATCAAATGAGTACATGGTGAGAATAACCATGTTCCTGCATTGATCCTGGCAAGTTGTAGGCTATTTGGTCCAGTGGTGCGATTGCACTGCGCTGTAGGATGTAAGGGACGCGGTGTGAGTGGCACTCACTGTGGTGCATTCTTTTCACCTGTTGTCACCCCATTCTGCAAAGCCTTGGCCATGCTGACATCAACATGCTTTTGAGAACATATGGTATAAAAACAACCAATTAGTGGTCGCGCGAAGCCTGACATGTGAGACAGAGCATCAGCGTGGTATAGAGGCAGTGCGTCGCCCTGTTTCCAGTGGACATGCACGTCACTGCAGCATCATCACCGGCACCACACAGCAGCTCTGGGAGGGCAGGCAAGCACGAGGCGTCTGTAAGCTGTGGGGTGTCACTTCATCCCCACACCTGAGTGATTCCCCACCCCTCAAGGGCATCACTCCCCAAACCTTAGTCATTCCCCACACCTCACGGGCGTTAGCCAGGCATGGGGTGTCAGTCAGTGTCGGGCATGGGGCAGTGGAGGGTGGGCAGGCTGTGCAGCAGGGAAAAGAGCTGCTCCGCATCAAAGGACATCTCTCCCCCTCCACCCACCCACTGCTCTCGCCCTGCCACACCACCTGCTCCTGCTTCTCCCCCTGCTGCTCCTCCTGCTGCTCCACCTGACTCTCCCCCACTGTCTCTCCCGCCCACCCCCCTGCCATCTCTGCCCCAACCCCTCCAGCCATCACAGCCACATTCCCGCCTGCCAACCCTGCCCCCACGGGGCCCCCACTCTCCCTGCGCCTTCCTTCCCACTGCCCGTGCTCACCCCCGCGCCTGCAGTGCCCGTGAGCACATTCTGCACCACCAGCGCCCCAAAGCTGTTCTCCGAGATCAGAATCCGCCGCGGCCCGCCCTCCCCCTCGCCCTGCCCCTGCGCCTGCCCCTGCCCCTGCCCCTCCCCCTCCCCCTGCGAAAGCTGCCACGCCACGCTGCTGCGGCAGCGCTGCAGGCGCCGCAGCCACTCAGGCATGGCGGCTGGGCCAGGGGGGGCGTCTGCGCCCGTGAGGGGCGGGAGGGTGGGGAGTGGAGGGGCGGGGGGGAGGAGGGCGTGAAGGACGCGGGAACAACGCTGGGTTGCGAGAAGGCGAGCGTCGTGAAGGGGAGAGGGTCCGAGGGGCCTGCGAGGGGGAAGCGAGGGCAGCGGGAGCGGAAAGAGGCAGGTCCAGGGAGAGTGCGTCCTGCGGAGGCTGTGCCACGGGCGGAGGGGGGTCCCAGTGGGCAGCATGCGCGGCCATGGCGTGCAGGTCGTCCGCGGACAGCCGCTCGTCCGCGCGCCTCAAGCGGCCCAGCGCAGGGGGCTGACTGGGCTGGTTCAGATGAAGGTGCTCGCTGCTGTACTGTTGTTGCTGCTGCCTCGCCTGCAACCAGTTCGCTGCTGTGCCTGCCATCTGCTGCTGCTGCTGCTGCTGCTGCTGCTGCTGCTGCTGCTGGTGTGGTTGCTCCTGTTGCACTGTGTACTGAAGCTGATGCTGCTCTTGCTGCCACTGGGAGATGCTGCTGCTGCTGCGGCTGCTGCTGTTGCTGCTGCTGCTGCTGCTGCTGCTGCTCGTGCGGCCAGTGGGGGGGCTGTTGCTGCTGCTGCTGCTCGTGCGGCCAGTGGGGGGCTGCTGCTGCTGCAGCTGGTGTGGTTGCTCCTGTTGCACTGGGTACCGAAGCTGATGCTGCTCTTGCTGCCACTGGGAGTGCTGCTGCTGCTGCTGCTGCTGCTGCTGCTGCTGCTGCTGCTGCTGCTGCTGCTGCTGCTGCTGCTGCTGCTGCTGCTGCTGCTGCTGCTGCTGCTGCTGCTGCTGCTGCTGCTGCTGCTGCTGCTGCTGCTGCTGCTGCTGCTGCTGCGCTGCTGCTGCTGCTGCTGCTGCTGCTGCTGCTGCTGCTGCTGCTGCTGCTGCTGCTGCTGCTGCTGCTGCTGCTGCTGCTGCTGCTGCTGCTGCTGCTGCTGCTGCTGCTGCTGCTGCTGCTGCTGCTGCTGCTGCTGCTGCTGCTGCTGCTGCTGCTGCTGCTGCTGCTGCTGCTGCTGCTGCTGCTGCTGCTGCTGCTGCTGCTGCTGCTGCTGCTGCTGCTGCTGCTGCTGCTGCTGCTGCTGCTGCTGCTGCTGCTGCTGCTGCTGCTGCTGCTGCTGCTGCTGCTGCTGCTGCTGCTGCTGCTGCTGCTGCGGCTGCTGCTGCTGCTGCTGCTGCTGCTGCTGCTGCTGCTGCTGCTGCTGCTGCTGCTGCTGCTGCTGCTGCTGCTGCTGCTGCTGCTGCTGCTGCTGCTGCTGCTGCTGCTGCTGCTGCTGCTGCTGCTGCTGCTGCTGCTGCTGCTGCTGCTGCTGCTGCTGCTGCTGCTGCTGCTGCTGCTGCTGCTGCTGCTGCTGCTGCTGCTGCTGCTGCTGCTGCTGCTGCTGCTGCTGCTGCTGCTGCTGCTGCTGCTGCTGCTGCTGCTGCTGCTGCTGCTGCTGCTGCTGCTGCTGCTGCTGCTGCTGCTGCTGGCTGCTGCTGCTGCTGCTGCTGCTGCTGCTGCTGCTGCTGCTGCTGCTGCTGCTGCTGCTGCTGCTGCTGCTGCTGCTGCTGCTGCTGCTGCTGCTGCTGCTGCTGCTGCTGCTGCTGCTGCTGCTGCTGCTGCTGCTGCTGCTGCTGCTGCTGCTGCTGCTGCTGCTGCTGCTGCTGCTGCTGCTGCTGCTGCTGCTGCTGCTGCTGCTGCTGCTGCTGCTGCTGCTGCTGCTGCTGCTGCTGCTGCTGCTGCTGCTGCTGCTGCTGCTGCTGCTGCTGCTGCTGCTGCTGCTGCTGCTGCTGCTGCTGCTGCGCTGCTGCTGCTGCTGCTGCTGCTGCTGCTGCTGCTGCTGCTGCTGCTGCTGCTGCTGCTGCTGCTGCTGCTGCTGCGCTGCTGCTGCTGCTGCTGCTGCTGCTGCTGCTGCTGCTGCTGCTGCTGCTGCTGCTGCTGCTGCTGCTGCTGCTGCTGCTGCTGCTGCTGCTGCTGCTGCTGCTGCTGCTGCTGCTGCTGCTGCTGCTGCTGCTGCTGCTGCTGCTGCTGCGCTGCTGCTGCTGCTGCTGCTGCTGCTGCTGCTGCTGCTGCTGCTGCTGCTGCTGCTGCGCTGCTGCTGCTGGCTGCTGCTGCTGCTGCTGCTGCTGCTGCTGCTGCTGCTGCTGCTGCTGCTGCTGCTGCTGCTGCTGCTGCTGCTGCTGCTGCTGCTGCTGCTGCTGCTGCTGCTGCTGCTGCTGCTGCTGCTGCTGCTGCTGCTGCTGCTGCTGCTGCTGCTGCTGCTGCTGCTGCTGCTGCTGCTGCTGCTGCTGCTGCTGCTGCTGCTGCTGCTGCTGCTGCTGCTGCTGCTGCTGCTGCTGCTGCTGCTGCTGCTGCTGCTGCTGCTGCTGCTGCTGCTGCTGCTGCTGCTGCTGCTGCTGCTGCTGCTGCTGCTGCTGCTGCTGCTGCTGCTGCTGCTGCTGCTGCTGCTGCTGCTGCTGCTGCTGCTGCTGCTGCTGCTGCTGCTGCTGCTGCTGCTGCTGCTGCTGCTGCTGCTGCTGCTGCTGCTGCTGCTGCTGCTGCTGCTGCTGCTGCTGCTGCTGCTGCTGCTGCTGCTGCTGCTGCTGCTGCTGCTGCTGCTGCTGCTGCTGCTGCTGCTGCTGCTGGCTGCTGCTGCTGCTGCTGCTGCTGCTGCTGCTGCTGCTGCTGCTGCTGCTGCTGCTGCTGCTGCTGCTGCTGCTGCTGCTGCTGCTGCTGCTGCTGCTGCTGCTGCTGCTGCTGCTGCTGCTGCTGCTGCTGCTGCTGCTGCTGCTGCTGCTGCTGCTGCTGCTGCTGCTGCTGCTGCTGCTGCTGCTGCTGCTGCTGCTGCTGCTGCATCAACTGTGCATTCACAGGCTCGCGGAAGCACGTGCACTCGCTGCACTGCGCCCCAGGAGGAGCGAGTTCCACCGCAACCACGCCTCCCGCGCACGCCTCCTCCGCGGCCCATGGCAATCCGCTCGCGGCGGGGCCTCGAGGGGTGACGGGGGCGGAGTCAGAGGGGGGGTGGTGCCACGCAGCGCTGCTGGTCGGGAGGAGGGGAGACGCAGAGGTGGAGGCGGACGGCGGATGGGGGGCTGGAGCAAGCACGAGCATGGGTTGCTGCGCGCCACTCGCCCCCAACCGATCTGCACTTTGCCGCGCCCCAAACGATTCACCGCCCCCTCCTCCAGCCCCCCCTCCTGCTGCAGCTGCCCCCCCTCCTGCTGCAGCTGCCCCCCCTCCTGCTGCAGCTGCCCCCCCTCCTGCTGCAGCTGCCCCCCCTCCTGCTGCAGCTGCCCCCACTGCTATCCCCCTCATCTTCTCCTCCTGCCGTTCGTGCCACTGAGCCGCCAGGCCAGCAGCAGTGGCGGCTGCCTGTCCCGAAGCGCCATTCCACCCACCGCCGCCTGCAGCAGCCGCACCTGCTGCTGCCACGCCCGCCGTCGCCTCCCGGGGGGCGCCCGTCTCCCCCGCCCATCCGCCCTCACTCTCCGCTGCACTCTCCCGCTCGGCGGATAGCCGCTGCTCGCCTGCCCACCCGACGCCGCTGCCGCCAACAGGCGACGCATCAGCAGCGGCGTGCGGTGAGGGGAGCGCGGCGGCGTGCAGGCCCATCATTATGGTGGCGGGCGGCGCGTGCAGGTGCCGGCCGCTGTAGGAAATGGCGAGCTCGCTCTCGGGCGAAATCTTGTTGAAGTCCACCACGCGCTTCGCATCGCACTGCTCGTCGCCCACGCGGTGCGCGCAGCGGAAGTAGTGCCTGGAGGGAGGAGGAGATGAGGGGAAAGGGAAAGGGTTAGGACTAGGCATGGCACACGCGAATATGATTGACCTCCCTGAAACACTTTCAGAGCAATCTTGGGCTTTGAACACGAATCCAAGTCACAATCTTTCTCAGTGTTCCTCCAGATTAAGAACAAACTTCGTGCAGGGCCTACCTGGTGTGCGTGCCGCCTGACAGTTCCTTCTGCCCGTACTTGAGCCACACGTGCCCGTCGCGCGGCAGTCGGTGCTCAAACAGGATCAGCTTCGACCGCTTGCACGGCCGCGCTGCGCTCGAAGACGATCCCGCCGTCTTTCCCGCCGCCGCTTTCGGCGATTTCACATTGGACGAGTCGTTGATCGCGCCGCCTGCCGCTGTGGGTGCAGTCAACGAAGTAACAGTTGCCGGAGGCGCCTCTTCTGCCGACGTGTCTTCGCTTCGTTCTCGTTTGATCGCGCGACCGTCCGTTTTGGTCGATTCGGCTTGAAGCCCGCCAGAGCCGTCAGTCTTTCTTAGATCTTCTTCTTCCATGGTGATTTCGCCGTGGACTACTGATTGTGTGCGACGCTCGCCGCCGAATTTGGAGCCGGCGAGACCGGCGCAGCGCAGGGATATTGAACTTGAGATGCCTCCTCCAAGGAAGAAGCGAGGCTTGGTGTCACGGATAAGAGTTTCTAACTCAGCGCTCGGAGGCATGGTGGTATCGCCTAGTAATCACATGCAGATCTTGTGCACTCGAACGACTTGTGCGTTGTGTTGGTGTCGAGAGGGATATAACAACGTGCTGGTTTTGAAGAGACTCATGTCAAGGGCGGTGGAAGAGATGTTCTAACAGTCCGCGTGGTGTTGCGGCTGGCAAACAGATGTGCAAACGGGACTGTGTGGCTGAAAAACGCGTAGTAAGCTCGGTTTCAGTTTTGAGGCTACCCTATTATGCTTTTCTTTTTGCATCTCGATTTCCATCTCGCTCCCGTTTGACATTGAAATTCGCCACCCTTTTCTACATCCTTATTATGGAATAACCATTATAAAATCTTGTGGGTTATGCTGCAAACACAAATGATGAGAAGTAACTTTCAAATCAATTTCCGCATCGGCATGCGACTCGGTATGGACTCAAGCACCGAACTGTACTGTATCTCGTCAAACTTTCTTTATCTGCCTCCGGACAACGCCGCTGCTCCGCAGTTCACGAATCACGATGCCAGCGCACGATAAACGCGGAGCTAATCAATACCGTACGCGGTGCCTTGAGCGTGGATACATTTCCGTAGAGACGAATGGCGCCAAAAGCGACCGTGTACTGCAAGCGCCCCGCGTTCCACTCACGCGGATAAAGTACACTGTTTCTGAGTGCCCGTGTGTCGAAAGCACAGTGCATTTTCAACAAACGTGGAATACTCGACACGGCATGCCCTCCTTGAATCGTTTCATTCGAGTTGATCCAGAAGCAACAGTGATGTTTCCGTGTCGTCCAGCTGTACGAAAGTGGTTACGGTGTTGCTGTCTGGTGGTGGAGCTTCTCTCTGGAGTATTTCCCTAGAAAGACTGGAAACCCTGGTTTCTAGAAACGTGCATTTTACGTTCTCCTCAACCTCAGTTTAAGCCGTGTACTGTACCACGGCTGCATAGCCTCACCTTTGACTTGTCTACAGAACCTACTGAGACAACTCTACCTGTCTCTACTGTTATGATGCAAAAAAAACACTTCCACAATGGAACAAGGTAAGCCGACGGGTCTTGTGGTTGGTTCTGTGAGAGCACGATTACTGTAGAAAATACTGAACGTTTTCGTCGCCCCATTAGTGTGGTTGGAGAATGGGCCTGTGGACCCTCCAACCAATCCAATGTTGCACAAAAGCTGAGATCTTGATTTGGAACCCACGTGACGTTACGGTACTCTACAAAGATAGCACGCGCCGTCACAGCGGAAACGCAAACTACTAGGATAAAGTGTTAGCGGGTCACGGTTATATGTACCCGGTTCTTGGGGTCCAACGCGTTAGAAATGGGTTGAAGACGATTCTGAGTTTACATTTCACCAACGAGAACCATTGTTTCACTGTTTTTACGTACTTGACCGCTTTAAATGAACCAGGTACGTTTCAAACGTGACCTGCCGACAATTCCTCAGTTACAAATCTGCATCCAACCACCGTGCATGCATAGCGACACAGCTGTGCAGTAAGCACACAACGATCTGAACAATTTCAGGGGCCACTATCCTTGCACCGGGGTGTATACATCTGCACCGTAGATGAGCTTATTCACTTGCGTGCAATCCAAGGCTGTGTGCTGTAGAGAGACACACGAGCAGGTGAGTCAGTCGGAGTCAACAAGCTCCCAGCGGCACTGTGAGAGGTCCAGCACTGCGATCTCCCCGTCATCGTACAGAAACTGTCCGGTACGGTGGCGGTGGGAGAGACATGTGGCAGAAGCGACGTGTATGCGGCAATGCCCCAATGTGAGGAGGAGGGTGTTGTAGGGGGTGCAGCCGGGGAACAGGATACACACGGGAGAGGTTGGGTAAGGTATGGGAGGAATGTCAGTGACAAGAAAAGTGACTCTTAAGCAGGAGAATGGCAGTGGCATGACCATGGCACGGCAATGGGTTGAGGGTAGCATGGCAATGAATGGTTTAAAGCTGAGTAGCTTTTTAGATCTTCAAAAGGGTTAGCGTGATAGCCGAGTGCCAGAAAGTAAGGAATATTGGATACGCAGCTTTGCAAGGGGTGGCATGGCATGTGGAGGGGGTGGCATTGCTGGGAGGGGAGTGGGAATGGTGTGGCAGGCAGTGGGCGTGGCACGACAGGGAGGGGAGGGAGGTTGGCAGGGCAGGGCGCATGAGGGCAGGCGGGCACCTCTATAGTGAACTTGCTGTGCGCCACTGACACCACCGTGCCGTTGCGGAACCTGCCCTCGCGCACCAGGGGAGGACGGGGGGGGGGCAACGGGTGCGCGGGGTGGGTGGCAGGCGATAGCGCACACATGATAGAGGTGGGAGTGAGGGGGATGGGAAGGAGGGGCAAGGGACAGGCAGAGATGAGGTGCTGAGGTGAAACATGTGTGACCACGGATGGTTGTATGTGGTGTGGTGTGACCCAACAACCATCTCACCCACACTTCCCTCCTTTGCCTGTCAATCACTCTCTCTCACCTCCCCTATCCTTCCCCAGCACAGAACTTCAACAACCCACCCACCCATCACCTCCACGCCACATCCACTCCCTCTTGCCCTCTCCCCAACACCCACCCCTTCAAGTGCCCCATGCAGCACACCTACACAGGCAGACCATCCCCCCTTCCTCACGAGCCTTCACGAGCTAACCCCCCTCCCCTCCCCAACTGCCCACCCCCCTTCCTCCTTGACCTCCCGCTCCCCTGCTCCCCCCTGCGCGTCCCTGCGTGCACCTGTGGAGTTGCGGCGCCCAGATCCTGATCTGCTCGCCCTGCAGGTCGCGCACCGCACGGTGGGTCAGTGGCTGGGGAGGTAGGGGATGGGGGGGGAGCCAGGAGATGGGGGATGGGAGGTGGGTAGAGGGGAGGGGGGGACGAGGGGGGAAGGGAGCGGAGAGGGGAGGGGGTGCGTGAGTGCATGCAGGGAGCGGAGAGGGGAGGGGGTGCGTGAGTGCATGCAGGGAGGTGAGACCTCGTGAGGTGATGTTGTTCCTGATGCATGTGGGGCAGGGGCTGGGAAGGGGGGGGAAACGCGAGAGAGGAGAGGAAGGGTGCAAGAGTAGGAGCAATTTGATATGCATCACTGATACCACACGTCAAGTTTACTGCACAACCCTATCACCACACATGACGCACCACACCCCACAGCCCAGACCCCATACTGCACTCCACACCCAACAACACACACCCCACAACACACACCCCACAACACACACCCCACAACACACACCCCACAACACACACCCACAACACACACCCCACAACACACACCCCACAACACACACCCCACAACACAAACCCCACAACACACACCCCACAACACACACCCAACAACACACACACCCACAACACACACCCAACAACACACACACCCACAACACACACCCCACAACACACACCCCACAACACACACCCCACAACACACACCCAACAACACACACCCCACAACACACACCCCACCCGCACACCACACACCCGACACCCCACAGCACACGCCACAGACCTTTCACACCGCACCATGCAGCTCCCACTCTGTACCTCGGATCGCCAGGAGAAGGGCAGCGAGTAGCAGGCCGTGGGTGGCACCGTTTGTCTCTCATAGCGCCAGCGCTCCGCACGCAGTGACACATGCTCCACGTCACCATCGTCATACGCCACCTGGCAGAGAAGAGGTGGAGAGAGAGGGAGGGAGAGAAGGGGGGAGGGAAGGGAGGGAGGGAGGGAGAGAGAGAGGGAGAGGGGAGGTAAAGGGAGGGAATGAGAGGGAGAGAGATTGTGAGTGCAAGGCAGCGTTCACCAATGTAGAGGACCAGTGGAGAGACAAAACAAGAGCCATGGCATGTGTGAAGGTGACGGGGTGTGGCGCATGGAACACAAGGGCGGTGCTGGGTGGTGCCGGGTGGTGCCGGGTGGTGCAGTGTAGTGACGTGCAAGGAAAACAGAGAATGTCAGCGCGAGGCATGGCCACATGACAGGTGGCACATTGCTATTGGCACGCACCCTGTGCTTGCGAGTGGAAGCATCGTAGGCGGCAATGACCCCCTTGAAGAACCTGCCACGGGGACAGGAGACCGGCGAGAGAGCACGTGATCAGATGAGGCACACAACAGTGGTGCACAGTGAAAAAAACAAAGGCAAACATGTAAGAGGTTTGAATGGAGCCAGGATAGAAGCGATTCAGGTGGCATGGTGCCACGAGAAACGATCTTATAAAGGGGGAAGGAGACGAGAGGAGAGGATAGGAGGATAGGAGGAGGGGAGGAGAGGAGGTGGGTGGGAGGAGTAACGCGTGGCTGTCGAGGCAGCTGTGAGAGGCTCCAGACAAGAAAAGAAGTCAGCTACTCTTTTTCCTTCCACACCATTCCCATTGTGACTCTATTCCCCCCAGCGCTTCTCCACTCACTCCCCCACTTGCACCCTACCCCATCCCCACACCACCCCTCCCCTGCCCCACCCCCACAACACTGCTCCCCTGCAGCACCTGCCCGTCCAACCCTCCCACCCCACGCACCTCTGTTCCAGCGGCCACCACACCTCCACGCGCCGCCCCACCATCGCCTGCTGCCGTGCCAACGCCTCCTGCTCCGCTCGGCTCAGCCCCGAACCTGGCCGCTGCGCCGAACCAAACAGCTTCGGCGCATCGGCTAGGCTCGGCAGCGGCGCACCATCTGCAAGCTTCTTGCCCTTGCCCGTAGCAGCACGTGCAGCACCGCCTGACCCCACACCCCGCTTCACCCCCTTGCCTCTCCCCCCTGCACCCTCCCCTGCTCCCTCCCCCTCCTCTTCGCTCTCCTTACCCCCTTCAGCGCCCTCCCCTGCGCTTCTCCCCGTGCAGGACCCCCCCTGCGCGCCCCTGCCCGCCCTGCTCGGCTGGTGCGCCTCCAGCTGCCACTGCTCACGCCCCAGCACCACGTGCTCCTCGTCCCCATCGTCGTACCGCACCTGCACACAGGGGGTAGGGAGGGAAGGGAACGGAGGGGGGGAGGAGGACGGGAGGGGAGGGGAAGCATGGGAGGGAAAGGGGGGAGGAGGTTCTTGAAGTGACTCGTGAGATGTCCCACAGTCCATACAGCTGCCACTGATCGCAGCCCAGCACCACGTGCTCCTTGTTCCCATCGTCATACTGCACCTGCGCGCAGGGGAGGGGGGGGGGAGGGAGGGAGGGCGGAGGGGAGGGAGGATCGGGGGAGGGAGAGAGGGGGGAGGAAGGAAGGGAGGGTGGGGAGGAGATGGAAGGGGGTGAGCGAGGGAGGGTGGGGGGAACGACCCCAAAGTGCGCACGCAGGGGCGAGGGGAATGAAGCCAAGCCGGGACGGAAGGTCCTCAGAGGGCAGGCTGGGGGGTGGAGGAAAAGAAGGAATGCAGGTGGAGCGCAGGGAGAGGGAGAGGGCGGCTGGATATATGCAGACTGTGTGGAGCGAGCAACCTGGTAGTTGGCACATGTGCAGATTCCCCTGCTGCCATTCATTCACATCAGATGCACCGTGCACTAGCCTTCACATGGTGATTCTCACATGCCGCTCCTGACATCATGTGCACATGGGTTCACATGCATGGTGGTGGCGCAACTCACATGGTGCTTCATGGTGGCGGGGTCGAAACCAATGACAGTGCCTGCAAAGAACCTGCGCGGGGGCAAGACAGGGAGGGGGAGGGGGAGGGGGAGGGGGAGGGGGAGGGGGAGGGGGAGGGGGGCATGTGCAGTGCAGCAGGAGGGAGTGCAAGAGGGGGCACAAGGGCATGGGTGAGAGGTACATTGCAAGGCAACAAGTGAGGCACAGGCGACGAGACAAGTGACGCAAGGGGCGAGAGGCAAGGGGCGAGAGGCAAGGGGCGAGAGGCAAGGGGCGAGAGGCAAGGGGCGAGAGGCAAGGGAGCAATCTGCCTTGACCTATCCTCGCCGCACCAACTCTCTGGCCATTCACCCACCCGTCTCTATCTCCCTCCTCCCTCCATCCCTCCCTACCTCCTCCCCCCCTCCCCCTTCCCCTCCCCCCCCCACCTCTGTTCCAGTGGCCACCAGAGCTGCACGCGCTGCCCCACCAGCGCCTGGCTCAGCCGCTCCAGCATGGCGTCGCGCACCCCCTCCGCCTCCGCGCCCCCTCGCCCCCCGCCACCGCCCCACCACGCACCCCCGCCCCTCCGCCCTCTCCCCCGCCCTCCTCGCCCTCCCCTCCCTCCTCTCGTTGAGGCAGCACCATCCCCCCCTGTATCCACGTCACTGCTCCCTCCTATGGGCGCGCCACCCCTCCCTGCCATCCACACGCTCACCATCCCTCCTCTCCCTCCTCTCCCACCTCGCCCTCCTCGCCCTCGCCACCCTCCCCTCGCCACATGAGTCATCGCAGCTGCCACCACTCTGGCTGCTGCGTGCCTGCTGCTGCTACTGCCCCCCTCGGCCTAGCCCTGCTGCTGTTCTAACGCCTGCCGTGCCCCCGCTCCTGCCCTGCCCACCTGCAACACCACCACTGCCGGCAGCAACAGCAACAGCAACGTCCAACTGCTTGGCATTACCAGTTGCGGCATCCTCTCTCCCATCTCCCTCCTCTCCCTCCTCTCCCTCCTCTCCCTCCTCTCCCTCCTCTCCCTCCTCTCCCTCCTCTACCCCTTCTCACTCCTACCCTTCCCCCTCTCTCTCCTTTCCTTGTCTACTTTCAAACCCTCCCTCCTTCCCCTCTCTCTTGACCTCCTCTCCTCCCAAGCCTGCCCCGCCCCTTTCCCTCTCCTGCTGACGTGTCACATCAGTGCAACCCGCAGTGTCCACGTGTGCACCCACAGCCAGCACGCCATTGCCAGTGGCAGACCCCCTTTCAGGCACATCATCTGGAGTCACACCCCTCACTGCCGCGACTCCCACGCCACACGCCTGTGCTGCTGCTACAGGGCATGCCATGCCATGTGCGCACATGTGCACTGCCCCCACATGGTGGCGACAGCAGAGGTCAGGGGCCATGGCAGCAGCAGCAGCATGCAGGTGACATGGGACTTGAGCGTGGGTGTGGGCGAGGGCATGGGTGTGATGATGCATGCATGCTGCAGGGTAGGCGAGGCCGCATGCTGCGGGGATGTGCACGCACGGATGTGCATGCGCGTGGACATGAGTGTGGGCATGGTGAAGGGCAGGGGCATGGCCATGGTTATTGGCCTTTGCAGGGATGGGGGGGGTGGTGCGGGCATGAGTGTGCATGTCACCACAAGCATCATCTGGCGACGAGGGGCCATGAGGGGCGGGTGGGAGCAGAGAGAGGGCCTGCTTCTGCCATCCACTCCTTGGCACTGTCTGCCCCGCTCCCTCCACCGCCATGCTCTGCAATCCTGGCCGTTGATCCGCACCCATGTGCCACATGTGCTCATGCGCTATCACTGCAGGACTCCTCCCCCCTGCATGCACGCCTCCTGCATGCACGCCTCCTGTGTGCACATGCCCTGCACCATCCGCGCCTCTGCACGTGCATGCTGCACACAAACCTTCCCCCACTCGCCCCCCTGCGGTATCAGACCCCTCCCCCCGGGTCCGCTTCCTCCGTCTCTCATACTCCCTCCCATAACGAATGAGACCCCCTTTCGCCACCTCCTCACCCACTCTCATCACCTCCTCCCACTCTCGCTTCACCTCTCCCACACCCCTCTCGCCCGCACTAGCACACACCATCACACCTGCCAGTGGCTCCTCTCCGACTGCCTCTTTCTTTACCGTCACATCCGTTTTTAGCCTCTTCCGTGAGTACACCCTCTCTACAGTCTGTCCCCCGATTCTCTGCTCCAGCGGAGCCCCCCCTACTTCCGCCTGTCTGCTCTCACTAAATCCCGCTGCCCCTCTTCCCATACCACCAGCAGCAGCTGCTGCAACAGCAGAATCAGGGCCGGCACCAGCAGCAGCCAGACAAGGCCCAGCAGCAGCAGCGGCAGCGGCAGCGGCAGCACAGAGGGGACAGTGAGAGGCAGGACAGCAAGACACCCACTCCCTGCCCATACCCATTCCCATACCCACGCCCACGTCCCCCTGCCCGCCAGCGCACCCACCCACCGCCATGGCAGCATGCCCCCCAGCTGCAGCCACTGACGTCACACACGAGCCCTCCTGCGCCCTCCTGCCACCGCCCTCCCCCTCGCCGCCCTCCCCACCAGTGACCCCAGCAGCGGTGCTGCCCCCAGCAGCAGCGCCAGTAGTGCTGCCGCGCGCATCACTGCGCATGCCCCCTCTCCCCCCCCGAGCCTGGCGCCTGCGCCTGGCGCCCTGCAGCAGCGGCACCGGGGCCCACCCCGGCCCCGGAATGAGGCGCCTGCTCCCACGAGGCCCTTTCCCGGATAGCTCTTCCCCACACTGCCGCTCATCTTCCTCCTCTTCCTCCTCCTCTTCCTCCTCCTCTTCCTCCTCCTCTTCCTCCTCCACTTCCTCCTCCGCTTCCTCTTCATCCTCATCTTCCTCCTCTTCATCCTCCTCCTCTTCATCCTCCTCCTCTCCTCCTCCTCCTCCTCCTCCTCCTCCTCTTCCTCTTCCTCCTCCTCCTCCACTTCCTCCTCCTCCTCTCCCTCCTCCTCCTCCTCCTCCTCCTCCTCCTCCTCCTCCTCCTCCTCCTCCTCCTCCTCCTCCTCTTCTTCATCCTTCTCTCGAGCCATACCCTTAGCCCTGTCACGAGAAGCTTCAGCCATGTCTCGGTCTCTGTCAACCGCACCACCAGCGCCCACCAGAGTGTGCCCGTCGGCATGCAGCTCCGATAAATGCCGCCTCTTTGGCTGCTTCACCCACACTTTCCCCCTCCCCCTCCCTCTCCCTCTCCCTGTGCCGCTGCCTCTGCTGCTCCTGCCTGCACCTCTCACCAAGGAATTCGGCACTGCTGCACCTCCTGCAGAAACACCCCTGCCTCTCCCCATCTTGCCACCACCCCGCTCTCCACACTCCCTCCCTTCCACTTCCCACCTGCCTCGACCTCTTCCTCTCCCACTTCCTCTCCCCACTCCCACTGCTCCTTGTTGCCCTCTTCCCCTTCCTCTTCCCCTCACCCCGCCCCTGCCTGCCCCGCTGCCCCCTGTTACAACTCCCCCGCACACATCCACCACATTCTTCCCCCTCCCTTCCCCCTTTCCTCCCTCCCCTTTTCCACCTCTGCCTCCGCGCTTCCCCTTCCCTTGCGCACCCCCAGGGGGAAAGGTCCCCCCTGCATGCGGAGGGGTGGCGGGCAGGGCGGGCGGAAGGGGGAGCGCGGGGAGGGCGGGTGCGGGGAAGGGGAGGGGGAGGGTGAAGGGGGAGATGGTGCGGGTGGCGAGGAGGCCGCGGCAGTTGGGCTCCCCGCAGTGGCACTCCTTGGGCTGTAACTCGAATCCTATGAACCTGCACGTGCACAGCAAAGGGGGGGTTTACAGGGGCATGTGAGACCTATGTTTTAGGCGCCCCAGAAGCAGTTGGGCTCCCCGTAGGCAAGAGGGGGCGAGAGAAGGCAGAGGAAGTGGTGAGTGTGCAGAAGTACGTGTGCAAGTGAGAAAGGCTCATGAGGGGAGGAGAGAATCCTCAGGTGAAAGGAGAGCAATCACACCAAGGCCTTGAGAGCACACTGCCAACAGAGGAGAAGCGAAAGCATCACGTCGATCGCACAAAATAGCTGGAGGATGAAGCATTGGTGGAAGAGGAAAGGGCAAGGGAGGGAGGCTCACTGGTAGTCATACGTGAGGAACTGCCCCTTGCTGACTGGGCGCAGCGTGCACACGCCTATGCGCACCTCCCCGTCCATCTGCCTGTTTGTGTGCCAGGAGAACAGCAGCGGCGGCGGCGACAGCAACAGGGGACAGAGAAACGGTTAAGAGCACATGTGGGATGAGCACGAGCACCCCCATTCCCCTCACCACATTTCCCTCCTCACCTACCCTGCTCGCCAGCATGTGCGTGGGAGGGCAACAAGGCACAGCTGGTCTCAGCAGATGCAATGCAAATGTGCACATGGGGCGAGCAGTCATGGCGGAGGGGCGAGTGACTGACCACTTCTGCAGCTCGCAGTTGGGGTTGCAGGAGTGGTTGATGAAGCGCGAGAGGTTGCCCTTGTAACGCGCGTCTATGATCATGTCACTGCTCACCTGCTCGCCCATTGCACACAGAGCACAGCACAGGGCAGGGCGCAGGGCAGGGGGCGCAGGGCAGGGGGCGCAGGGCAGGGGGCGCAGGGCAGGGGGCGCAGGGCGTGGGCAGAAGGTGCAGGGCGCAGAGAGAGGGTCAGCAGGATGAGACGAGAAGGCAGGGAAAGACGAGATGACATGGAAAAAACGGGGATAGTTGTGCTTTGTGCTGGATTAAAGAGGCAGTGAAGCGAACCGCATAGAAACGCAGTGAAGCGCACGGCAGCGCAGCGCATAGCCGTGGCGGCAGGGGAGGCAGGGAGTGGCAGGGGGGGCACGGCATGGGTAACCTCGCAGAGGTAGAAATCGGTTTCCCCAGCGGCCTTCATGTCCCACAGGCGCTGCTCGCACGTGGCGTCATCTATCACTGCTCAACGCTCCGCGCAACATGGGGCAGGGGGAGGAGGGGGGGTGCACATAGGTATGGGAAGGAGGCGCATGGGTACAGGGGAAAGGGCGCATGGATAGATGGGGGCGGGTGCATGAACGGGCCCAGGGGAAGGGGTGAGCAGTGCAGTGCAGAATGCAAGGAAAAAAGATGAGGGGATCACATTTGAGCTGCCAATAACTATGGATGTATCCATGTGAGTGGCGATACATAGAGATCGACCCTTTCATTCCCACACACCGCGCATGCCCACACACCCATTTTGCCCCACATACTCACCTTGCCCCACATACTCACCTTGCCCCACATACTCACCTTGCCCCACATACTCACCTTGCCCCACATACTCCATCACGTAGCAGCCCGCAGGGAGGTCCTCGTTGGCCTTGAGGCCCCACCCGCACTTGTCCGTCTGCACGCAGGGGGGGTGCGGGATGTGAGCAGGAATATGCAGGGGGCTAAGGGGGGACGGTGCGGGCTACGAAAACGGAAAAAGCGGAGATAAGAAGGGGAAACGCGGGGGATAAGAGGGGGAAAGTGCGAGGGAGAAAACGGGAGGACGGGCTGGGAGCAGTGGGTTGTGAGCGGAGAGGGGATGGACGGCCACGGGACAAGCAACGACGGAGCGGGCTGAGGGGAGCAGCGTGCAGTGGCGGATGGGGGGAGCAGGTGGGGGGCACACGGGGAGGCGGGGGCGCGGGCAGCGCGACGCACCCTGCAGAGCTTGACTTTGCGCGAGGGGCGGCGGTGGAAGGGCGCGTTCTGACACGACGACCCGCACCCGCAGTGCTTGCTGCAGCTCACGTGCAGCATGCTGGGGGGGGAGGGGGAGGGGGGGGGGGGGAGGGGGAGCGGAGGGGAGGGGGAGATGGTGGGAGGGGGAAGGAGGGTGGGAGGGGAGCAGGGAGAGAGGAAAAGGGTAGATAATGAGAATGGAAAGGGATGCGTGCGGGGATCGGAGAGAGCAGAGAGCAGACGGTGCAGAGGGAGGAGAGCACCACGCGTGTTGAAAGGAGGTGCAAGAGTGGCAATCAACACACACCGGCAGAGGCATGTCTCGCCACAGATGGACATGTTTCTTCTCCGCCTCCTCTTTGACTTCGTCTTCTGCTTCGCCTGCGCCTTTGCCTTGGCCTTGCCCGTCCTTCCCTGCTGGCTCATCTTGACTGTGCGAGGCTTCCTCTTGCCTCCCTGCCACTCCCCGTCCTCCTCATCCTCCGCCTCCTCCCCCTCCTCCTCCTCCTCCGATTCTGAATCCTCCTCCTCTTCTTCCTCATCCTCCTCCTCGCTCTCCTCTTCTCCATCATCCGAGCTCCCATCATCACTCTCCTCCTCCTCATCCTCATCCTCCTCTTCCTCTTCCGCCACCACCAGTCGCTTCCACCCCCGGCCCGTGATGCTCTCCCGCGCGCGTCCCCCCGCGCCCTTGTGGCATTCGCACTGCACCGACTCCGCCGCCGACGGCTTGGCGGGCCGCTTCACCAGAAACTCGTCTGCGCGCGAAGTCGGGGGAACAGGGTTGGGGGAGGTGGGTGTGGAGGAAAGAAGGGAGAATGAAAGAGAGTGCATTGGGGAAGATATTGTTGAAGGGTTGTGGGACGCACGGCTAGGGTTGAGATGAGCGGAGGGAGAGGCAGGGAGAGGGTTGGCGCGTGTGCGGGAGGTATCGCTGTAACTACGGTTGACTGGCGCTTCGCAGCGTCGTCGTGCTGCTGGCCGTCCGGCCAACTCGTGAAGGCCGTTGCGCTTATATGCATTGCTTTCATGCTCACACTGCGAATCCACGCAGCATACGGTTTGCAGTTAACAAGCGGACTGAGACTTAAGACTGATACGAGAATTGATCAGCAAGCGGAATGCGAGCAAGTCAGTATGCGAGGTTCCGTTCAAGACGCGGAAACTTGTCAGTGAATAGACTTCCAGTGAACACGCAGGCTTCACTCGACAGGTCCAAATCAGGCAACAACAGGTGAGGCATGGCGGGGAAAGAATGCAGGCAGCATGGTTGGGTGGGCGGCCGTGCGGTACTCGCGTGCCGACCGGACGCACCTCGTTCAGCCGCGGCATCTCTGTTTCACCACCCATGCCTCTCATGACCCAGTAGGCGATCCCAGTGCCCAACGATTTCTATTCTAGGCTCGCGAATCAGCAAGCGGTGCACACACGGCCATGGAATGTTGCGAAAATAGGGTGTGCTCAACCGCGCGCCGGACTGCATTGAACGGATTCAACGAACCTAGACGCTTTCAGCGACTGCCGGAGCATGCACTACATTGTCAGTCGAACGCACCTACCGGAAATAAGAGGCTTACTTCGTCGGATGGGTATGTAGTCCGGGAGCGGAAATCCCGAGCCGTGCTGTGGCACGATCGCATCATCCCGCGCCATGGCCCGCCGCGACGGGTGATTGACACTGGCCGAGCGATGCGCGTGGCTCGCTGTTATTGCCAGCTAATGACGCGACCACTCGCACTAAACGCCTCTTCTACTAACACCTTATAAGGTATGTGACGTCTACTAGATGCAATGGTTCCTGGTCGTGGCAGCATGTTGATCAGACGAGATCGCATCTCGCCGTTTTATGACAAGGGTTTGGTCAGGCGAATGAGGCGAGTGACTGTGAGAGCGCGGAGCGAAGCACCTGGAACACCTGCACTGCAGTGACTGGCTTGTCAGTGATTGGAGAAACGCACACCGAGAACAGAAAATCAACAGTCAATTCCCGCCAGAACGTGAATTTCCAGTAGGAGCCGCCTCGAAATGGGGTATATTTTCGGATAGGCTCTCAACCAGTACCTAATATCATAGGACCAATTTCCACGTGAATGAATCTGCATTCTAACAGTACCGTACTTGTGATCAACAGGCCCATTCACAATACGTGTCCTAAGCGTTTGTGTAAACCAAAATCCTTGATGACTAACCAGTCTAGAGTGTGCATTGATATCCGGCTTCGTCAGGCAGGCTCACATCCCAAGTGGACTTCGTTTCAGAGCCTTCCCCCTCCCACCACTGGCAACCACTCCAGCGCGCACATTCCCTCCTTCTCCACCCCGCCTGAATCGTTTGGCCTATCCTCTCCTCCACCATCCCTACCACCGCCCATACTGCACTTCAAGCTCTCTCTCTTCCTTGCCGGGCTGGTACCTTGCAAGCAGCAGCGGGGGGAACAGGGTCCAACTGGGGATGAGGGATGTGAGATGTGCACAGCAACAGTGGGGGAGAGGACCAGAGGCGAGTGGAGCGGGGACAGCGAATCCGGGAGGAAAGAAAAGGTGGGGCTGCAGCGGGGGATGCAGGGAGGAAAGGAAGTGCAGGAGCGCAGACGCGGGGAAGTGGCGGCGCAGCGTGGGGAGGAAGGGCTTCTGAGCCCCATGCTGTGTGCAGCTTCCCCTGCAAGCAGCTGCTTTTGCGTGGGACTGATGCCCGGTGACAGCACTCTGAGGCCTGGGGATCTGCGGGCACGTGGAGGCTTCCTGAAGAGGCGAGAGGAGGCGCGTGGGGAGGGGATCTGGAGGGAGAGAGAGAGATGCACGTGCACAGAGTCACATGGCTTGAGGCGGGATGGGGCTCTGCTCCGAAGAGGAGACTGCCGCTGTGAGGGCTGTGCGGGCTGTGCGGGCTGTGAGGGCTTCGAGGGATGTGCAGAAGAGGAGCAGTCATGCGCCTTCGGGCTGTCTGGAGAAATCACATTGTCGTCTGTTTCCTCGCCCTTGTTGCATTCATTCCCTGCCGTTGTACCACACGATTCTTCATCACTTGCTTTTCCTTCACTCTCCTCCACATTTTCTCTCACATTCCCAGTCTTCATATAGCGTTCCTGCTGTGGGGTTTTAGTGCCTGGCACACCTGGCTGGCATCTTCTGTCAGTGCTGCTCTCCTTAGTTATGGCCTCTGAAAGCGGTGGAATAGGTTTCTCGAGAAGCTGCTGCTCCTGTTGCTCTTGCTGCTGCTGCTGCTGCTGCTGCTGCTGCAGCTGTTGCTGCTGGTGCTGCATGTTCATGTGTTGCTGCTGTAACATAGACCAGTTGATCCCCCCATTGCCTGGGACAGAAAGCGATACAGGGAATGGTCTCAATGGGTGTGCCACACCATTGAAAGACATGCTACTGGCACACTTGCTGCTGGCTGCACTGCTGCTTCTGGTGTTGGTGGAGGAAGAAGGGAAGAAGCCGTGGGAGAGGGCAAAGCCAGGCATCCACACAGCCTCATGCCAGAAGAATGGAGGCGATAGACGCGGGTATGCATCCATGGAATAACACGGCTGTTGCTGATTGGTTGGTACGTGTCGTACTGCTTGCTGGTGAGGCACCGAGGGCGTGGTTGATATGGAGCTGAAATCGGAGGGGGGGCGCTGCAGCAGGTGCAAGGAAGATGGCATGCTGCCACTCCCCGGGAGATTGTTGCAGTCACCCGTCGACTGGCAACCAGTTCTGCCTGATGCACCCTCGACCATGCTGCTCCACTTGGAAGGCTGAGAAACATGAGTTGAGGAGGTGGATGGATCAATGGACATGGACTGCATGGCCTGCAAGCACTCCTCTACTACGTCCCCACCTGCATCACCATTCATGCTGTCTGCGACTCCCACATCCCCACTGCCGTTAACTCCCACGCCATCCCTCGTTCCGTTGCCCGCAGGCCATGGGCTTGCAGGCCAGGAATGAGCCGCCACTGGATTCCCCTGGGAAACAGCTGGGAACGGTGCAGGCACAGGTGATGCTTGCATGGTGCATCCAATGGGCGGTGTGGAGGTCATGGGAGGCACAGCAGCCACTGGAAGCTGAAGCGACATCGGCATGGGCATGGTGGGAATAGACCTCATAGATCCCACGGACCCCATGTGCCATGGACCCACCATGTCACGTCTCATGGGCCAGAAGCCGTGACCGCCTCCTGGCATCCCTGCTGAACTCGCAGCGCTCGCAGCACTCGCAGCTTGAGCCACAGCCGCAGCCACAGCCCCTATGGGAGCACTGCGGAGCGGCGAGGAGGGGTGATGGCAGAGCGCCCAAGCCGCGGCATCCATGGTGGTTGGGAGCCTGTGAGAGTACGCACGGGTGGGGGAGTGCTTCGGCGTGTACACTGCTGGCTGCCGCTGCTGCGGATGATGAGTATGGTGCTGGTTGCCGTCTCTAGCAAAGAACCGAGGGCCATGAGCTCCCTGTCGCACACCTCGCCCATGCTGTTGTTCCCAAGCCGACCCTCCCGTACTTGCCTCGTGTCCATGATTCGCATGGCTTTGCCCTGGAGACCGGATCCTTGAGTTGGACACTAGAAGCAGCGTCCGCGACTTCCGGCCTTTCTTTTTCCTACGACGCCTCTTCTTCTCCTCTGCGGCGTGTGGCGAGCTCTTCAAGGACCCCTCTTCCCACCGCTCGTCTTTGCGAAGCAGCCGTAACTCGCCACTTGCAAGGTCGCTCAAGAAGCACCCGCCGTCCTGAGTGTCGCGGTGAGGGTCGCCATCTTGATCATCATGATGCGCTTGGGAGATGGACGACGGACTCTCTCTCTCTTCGTGCTGAGTTGACGGATCTGGCGAGTCCACTATCGCTTTCGAGATTCGCACCTCGGAATAAGGAATCGAATCCAAACCCTCATGATCCACGGTGAGGTCCTCGGACACTATGCACAGGCTGTCTTGATCGACGAAATCTGCTGCTTGTAGTCCTGGACGCCTTTTCAACGCCGAAACAGCACTTTCAGAGTCACTGCAACGAATGTCAACCGGTAAATAGAGAAGACTATCAAATTCATGGTCAGGTTTTTTTTCCTCGTCAGGAGGAACCGAGTGGATGGGACGAAGTGCTTGCTCGTCGGTCAGCGTGAAGCAGGAAGATTCGGTCAAGACCCGCGGACTCGAACTCGATCGCGAGGGAGTTACAGCTTGATCCATGGGAATAAGGTAAGAAAAGGGTTTGACAAGATCGCGCAATGAAACGGCGCTTAGTCCGTCTGGGATGCATTGGCCGAGATAATGAGCTTATATGCGAGCAGGGTGAAGCAGCCATGGTTGTGATGTGAACGTTCAACTGAAAGGCCAGTCCAGCTGAAATGTGAGTCCCCATGGCCTCTTGGGAATGCAGAGGATGGCGAAATGCGACGGACGACATTCCTTTGCGACGCGGAATCGATCGTCCTCGATTGAGAATTTAGCACGTGGCAGGAACTTCGATTCAACAGCACTTTCCCGTGGCTTGACGAGCTGTTCTCGGCTGGTTCACCACCAAAGCTTCTTCGCCACACGAAGCGAAGCCATTGCGAGTTGAACGATGTTGGCGAAACATGAAGGTTGGGTGGAATAGATTTGTGAAGCGATTCAAGCAATAAACGGATCAGTGGAAGTCTCCAAAAGACCAACAAACTCCACCAGGTTTTGAATCCCACCATTTCGTGAATTTGTTTTTGCTGTTTTCTCGAGCATTCGAAGGTGATCTGCTCGAACATGATGGTGAGTTATAGGTTTGGGGCTCAATCTATGTCTAGATGTCCCTGACAGCAATTAAATTCGATGCAACCTTATTACAGTCTGACATGGAGATGGCCGGTGAACGCGATAACCATGAGGAACTTGGCCGAAAGCCCATTCTCCAGCACGACCCTGGCCATGACGAGAACGGTGGATTACACACAATGGTCGAAGGCGCTGTTCGACTGGTCACAATGCTTAATTTCATGAAGGTTTGCGGTCGAGACTGTGGAGCATTGGAAACCATTTTCAGTTTCAGATTTTAACCTAAAGGCGGCTTACAGGTTGAGCTTGGCGAGTACAAGTCCTTAAAGTCCAAAGAACAATGGCGTTCCATCGGCGTTGAGTTTCTCGCCACCCTTCTGTTCGTTTACCTGGGGTGTGGCTCTGTCGTAGCATCAGGTGAATGTTCTTCTACGCTCGTCTAAGCTGTACCACAAACTTCAAGTCATCCAAGACGGCGTGTATTCTCAGGGGTCCTTGAGACGGAGTTGACATCTGCAAGGCTCACTGTTATCGCGCTTGGTCATGGATTGGCTATAACCTTTCTCGTGGCAAGCACTGGTGCAATCTCTGGAGGTCACATCAACCCAGCAGTTACCCTTGCCTTCGTAGTTGCTGGAAAGGAGAACATCATAAGGGGCTCTCTATACATCGTTGCTCAGGTGCAACATTCTGCAGCGCTTAATGTTCACGAGCAAGTTAACAGCATACAGAACTGACATATTGATGTCTTCTGCAGTTGGTTGGGGGAATCTGCGGAGCTGCCTTGTTGGGGGCGTCCATCCCTGTAGCAGATCTAGGTCACTTGGGTACTCACAGTCTTGGCCACGGAACTTCCGTCAGCAATGCTTTTCTGATGGAAGTGATGCTCACCTTTACTCTGGTATATGTTATCTTTGGTGTCGCTGTGGACCGAAGAGGACCAGGTAAGTATACCGATTCTTGTATCACATGCGGTGACATTTGCCACCTGATGTCTGCTTGCTTGCCCAACAGGTGTTATTGCACCCATACCGATTGGCCTTGTGGTGGTAGTCGATCACTTGGTGGGAGTACCATTTACAGGTGCATCCATGAATCCCGCCAGAAGCTTTGGGCCAGCTGTTGTATCAGGAATCTGGCCACAAGAACACTGGGTGTACTGGGTAGCACCCAGCCTGGGGTCAGCACTAGCAGCTGTCATTTACAGGTATACTGTTTTGCCATTTTTTTCCAAGATATTAGAGACTAACCTGTACACCATTCAATGCAGGTACATAATCATGGGAACAACCTACAAACCACCAGAAGCAGCAGCAATGGTTATGCCCGGAAGAAAGTCAATGTCAGCAGCAATCTGATCTGACTGGCTGCATTACTCTTACTCAGTGATCTTGCGATGACATGCTGTGCTGTGATGTTGAGCATACCCTGAGATATCGAAACATGCCATGCCATACTTGGAGCATTCTTGGGTACCCAAATGCTTCTTGGACTTCTCATTCATGCACACAAGATAAAGTCAGCCAGGACTGGAATAATCAAAGGGGCCAGTCGAATGGACAGAACAGGAATACGGCACAAGCAGCAAGTATATGAGTTGCAACAAGAACGCATCAAGATGCCAACCTTCACCTAGCGTTAGCCCATTGCCATTGAAAGATTCATTCAGCATAACGAAGCTGTTGTGACAGTAAAAGAGCAAATGCATCCAATTCTTACCTCCCATCCGAATTTACTGCTTCTTTGGGGACTTTCTCTTTGCCTCTATTTGCCGCTTCTGCAACAAATTGGACAGGCACCCAAAAGTAAGTACAAAATAAAAAGCAACCGCGTTGCACTTTTGTTCGGACACATCTCGCTCATACCTTCATTTGCTCGAGCAATTCGGGCATTTTGGCCATGTTCTCTGCAATCTTCTCCTGCCTGCATACCAGAACATGTAGGAGGAGTATCATGGTGATTGAGCCCTGAGCAGAGATCACGAAGTGCAAAAAAAATTGACAGCATTCTTGGAGCAACATGGAGTGCGTAAGTCAACACTCAAATCTATTAAAGTGCAGGCTAACCTCATTGCTGCCTCCTTATCATGCTTGTGGCCCTTTATCTTGGTGCTCATCTCCTTCCGTGGAGCGTCATAAGGCCATTCCCTGCCACCCCAACACACACACGCAGACAAGGCGTGCATACACACGTCTACCCCCCGAACACATGCAGACAGACACACCATAAGATTCGGCACGCCCTCTCACGCCCCCTTTCCACATCACTCCAGCAGGAAGCACAACAAACATACACACAACTACGTCCCCCGCCACATCAAGAACACACACACATGCACACACACCATAAATACGAGCACGAACGAGCTGGGACTATAGCAATGAGAGCAAGACGAGGCAGCGGAAAGTGGAGGATCTCAGGGAATGCGGCCTCGCTATGTTTAGTATCTGGTCGTGAGACTCCCAAAGAGTGATAGGGCAAAGTTGCGGGGATCAAAGCGGTACGTAAGTGAGAAACAAGGCATCCGTTCACATAGAAAGCGATCCAACATAACAGCTACTCCTACACGGTCGCACGGCAAGTAAACAGCGCAGGATACGTCCGTCGCTAATTCATAATCGACGACGATTGGCAGATCAAAACTTGAACGGTTTCTGATCTGTTGCACTTATCTTCCTAGCCGAGGCATTCTCTGAAAACTCACTCGCCAGCCAGAAGAGTCTCTTGTCGCAACCGTGCGCGGTTCTTTGCGGAAATCGCAGCACCGCGCCACTTTCCGTTAACAAACGACGGTCGAAGTCGCTTAGCTAACTCAACAACGGCCTTCATGGCTTGCTGGCCGGCTCCTGAGGACGCCATTGCTAATCACAAGGCTGCTGCGCTTCAGACGCGAGATCGTCCCAGCAAAGCTTGTGCTGCCTATGCGTACTTTTCCTGAGGAAGGGTTGGGAAGCGCAAATTCCGTTTACTACTGCTATACGGCGCGGATGATGCTCGGGTAATGCACGCGAAGTGAAGGTCCCATTGACCAGCACAAACCCTGAGTCAGTTCACCTTCAAATCACAAAGCAGGTGCTGCACTTGTCTGCCAGGTGCTTTGCTTCAACAGCTGTGAAGCAAATCTTGGTGGTCTCCATTTGCCAGCACAAACCCTGCACACTCTGCCACTTCCTGAGCCCTCCCAACCCAACTCAAACCACTCAATTCCCCCCACACCCATTCCCCCTACTTTCCCCGCCCGCGGATTCTTCCCCATCGCTCCGCTCCCCGTCCTCAGATTCTTCACTTTCAACCGCTTTGCTCCGCAGCACCGCACTCTCCCACCCATGCTTTTGCGCAACCACAGTCCAACAACCACATCCATCCATTCCGCTCGGCCTCAACCATCCTCCTGGCACTAGAAGCTTGAAATATTCTTTTGTCTATGCCTCGCGATACGGTTTATCTTGAACGGGTTGACGAGGTCGCAGTACAGTATACAAATTCACGGTTGTTACGCGGTCGGTGCGCGGTTAATCTACGCTTAGTACACAGCCGGTGCGCGGTGAACGGGAATGACGTTTCAGGTGTTCGTTCGAGGTCTAGATGGCGCCACCACTTTGCTTCGCACCGATAGAGCCGTGATTTCCGGTGCTGATCTCAAGACCGCGTTGCGAAGTCGCCGCGCTCTTCCGCCGGTTTTAAGCGACAGAAGCGACGGCAGCTGCGACGCTTGCGATGGATGCGACGCGTTCCGCGTTGTCACTGGCACGCGGGAGATCTCTGACTCGTCGCTCCTCTCTGCTGACGCGGCAGGATTCTTCCCTTCGTGCCATGTCATCGTGAGGGTTCTCGGAGGGAAGGGTGGCTTCGGGTCGCTGCTGCGCGGCGCCGCCACCAAAGCCGGGCAGAAAAAGACTAGCAATTTCGACGCGTGTCGCGATATGAGTGGTCGGCGACTCCGGCACGTCAACGCCGAGCGTAAACTGAAGGATTGGCGGCACGAGGCGCGGGAACGACAACTGGAAAAGACGGCGCAGGACTATTTGAAGCGACTCGCGAAGGAGAAGAAGAAGCGGCGCGAGGAGGTGGTCGATCTGGGCGCGGTGCGCAAGGCCAGCCACGCCGCCATGGCGAGAGTCGCTGATGCGGTGAAGAGCGGTATGGAGCGGCACGGTCTGGATAAGGGGAAGCGGAAGCTGAGCGCGGAGGAGGAGGGGGAAGAGGAGGCGGAGCGGGCGCAGCAGGCGAAGCGAGGAAAACTACTGTACGTTTCTTGACTGGGGGAATGGGCGGGGGGGGGAGGATTGGGGAGAGGGAACGGGGGATGGGGGGTTGGAAGGGTGTTTAAAAAGAAAAAAGAGGCGGGAGGGAGGGGGAGGGGGGTGTGAATGAAAGTATATGGGGTTGAGTTTATAACTCCGCTCCTGTTAACCCCGCTTTCCTCTGCCGTGTGCCTTGATGGTATGCCCGTTGCGACCTCGTGCGCAATATGTGTGTCGCTCCATGCGCTCTCACATGCCCGTGCGTTTGGCTTGATCTCCTCCGTATCCGTGTCCCTGTTCCTCTCCCTGTATTGCAGAGGCATGCTGGAGGATATTGAGGAGGGGGAGGACGACGAGGAGGAGGACGAGGAGGAAGGGGAAGAGGAGGTTGAGGAAGAGGAGGAGGATGAAGAGGAGGAACATGAGGAGGGAGAGGAGGGCACAGAAAGGGGAGGGGAGCAGGGGAGTGGGAGTGGTTCAAAGGAGGGGAGCGAGGGGAGTGGGGGTGCGGGCAGTGCGGGCAGTGCGGGCAGTGCGGGCAGTGCGGGCAGTGCGGGCAAGGCAGTGGCACCGCTGCACTCGTCCTCGTCTGACGAGGAGCGCGATGAAGCTTGCCATGCCAGTCGCTCGCCTTCTGCCCACTCCTCGGTACTCCATCATCCGGAGCCGCAGGCACAGCCGCAGCAGGTGCAGAAGCAGCAACAAGTGCAAGGGCAGCAGCAGCAGCAGCAGCAGGAGTCCCAACAAAACCAGCAACAGCAGCCGCCACCGCCGCAGACACAGCAGTCAGCAGCAGCAGCAGAGGGTCCCATCGACCTCTCTCTCTTCCACTCTGCTGCAGAGCTGGAGGTGAGTACTTGCGTGAACCTCCCCTCCCCTCCCTACTGGCCCACCTGTGTGCTCCACGTGTGCTTCTGCTTTACACCCCCATGCATTCCTGCGTCACCCTCCTTTCCCCTCCCTTCAGCTCCCCTCCCCATCCCCATGCACTACCCCACCCGTATCCTTACCCTCTCTTCCCGCCCACCATATTCACCCTCCTGCTCTCATCCTCCCTCCCTGCCCCACCCCCCCTCCCCTTTTCGCCTGTGTGTACGCGCCTTGTGCCAGTCTCTGGGTTTGGAGCGGCTGAAGCGGGAGCTGCAGCAGAGGGGGCTCAAGTGTGGCGGCACGCTGAGCGAACGAGCAGCGCGGCTCTTCCTGCTCGCCAGCACGCCTCTGGACCAGTTAGATCCCAAACACCTGGCTGGAGCTGCTGGTGGTGGTAAAGGCCGCAAGGGCAAGGGCAAGCTGTGACTGGGAGAGAGGGCAGCAGCGCGGCTCTTTCTGCTCGCCTCGCCAGCATGCCTCTGGACCAGTTCGATCCCAAACACTTCGCTGGAGGGGCTGCTGCTGCTGGCAGCGCAAGGGGGAGGGCAAGGGCAAGCAGTGATTGGGTGTGTGGTGGTGGGATGCAGTGTTGTGTTGTTAGGGTGGAAGCTGGTGGTTGCCTGCTGTAGATAGCTATTGCTGCCAGTGCCTGCCAGGCAGTTGGGTGTGCTTCTGGTCGCTGCTTCCGTTGTGGCAGCACTGTTGTGAATATCCTTGGCTATCCACTCGGCCATTCCCTTGCTTTTTATTGCTGCCTGCAGTGTGTTTTGGAGTTTTTACGGTACTTGTTACTGCTCATTTTGGCTTCCCATTGCAAAGCTTCCAAAGCTACACTTGTAAATTCTGAGTTTCAATACATTCTCTATTCACAAACACCAAAACACTGCAGCAGTTTCATGCCCTGAACTGCCTTGGACTGTGCTGCACTAACCTATAGTGTACTACACTTCAGTGCACTGCAACACACTGCCACACAGGTGGTGTAACAAAAATCGAACTCATGCCAAACTGGCAAGTCGGGTCGGGTGGCCTCTGAGCGTACCCCGCGGAAAGGCTTGGTGGTTGGTTGGGGACAGGATGGATGAATGAGGCTCGGGGGGATGCGCGTGCTACCGCAACACACGACTGGCTCGATTAGACTGCAGGGACATGAGAGGAGAGGAGGGAAGAATGGGGTTGGAGGGGGCGTTACCATTACATGAATGGCAAGGCACACAACTCATGGCACAAGACACATGGCATTTGGCACATGGGATAAGATGGAACATGGCACATGGCACATGGCACATGTCACATGGAACATTGCCTATGATGATAGCGGATGGCACATAGCACATGGTCGCTCACCTTCTTGCAGTACTTGGCTCGGATCTTGATAGCGAGGTGCACACACGACGCCACATCCAGCACCAGCTCCACATCGTTGAACATCTGCGGTGGGAGGAAATATGATGAGGGGAAAAGGGGGGGTAGTAGGGAGGAATACAGCCAGGAGCAGTGATAAAGGGAGGGTGCAGTGTGGATGGCCATGTGCCACATCCAGCACCAGCTCCACATGGTTGAACATGTGGGGGTGCATGAGCGGGGGTTAGAGGGGGTCGATGGGGGGAGCTTGCAAGGTCTCCAAGGTGAGGTGTGGTGCACACACGATGCCACATCCAGCACCAGCTCCACGTCGTTGAACATCTGCGGTGGGAGGTGGGGTTGGGGGTAAACGGAGAGGGAAACGCGGAGGAGCAGTAATAAGGGGAGGGTGCAGTGTGGGTGCGCACACGATGCCACATCCAGCACCAGCTCCACGTCGTTGAACATGTGGGGGTGCATGAGCAGGGGTTAGAGGGGGTTGATGGGGGAGCTTGCAAGGTCGCCAAGGTGAGGTGTGGTGCACACACGATGCCACATCTCATCCAGCACCAGCTCCACATGGTTGAACATGTGAAACGAGCAAGTCACATGGTGGAGTGGAGCAATGTTCATGGTGAAACACAGTGGGAGTGGCGGGAGTTAGGGGTTTGGAGAGAGCTGCAGGTGAGACCAGAGAACTGTTAGTGGGAGCAGAAAGCAGGGCGCACCTAAATGGCTTGGCCGGAGCCTTCAACCTGCAGCAGTCTCTTCCTGTTGGCCCTCAGAGTTGGCGCTACACAGAACAGCACCTAGTCCTATTTCTGAGGCGCCTCCAAAGGCCAAGACCCACCTTGATGGCTTCATCTGAGCCCTCCACCTGCAGCAGTCTCTTCCTGTTGGCTCTCAGAATGGCCGCCACACAGAACACTGCTAGGTCCTCATCCCCCACCCGCGCCTCCCCCCACCGCGACATCCCCCTCCCCCCCAGTCCATCCGCCCCCGCAACTCCCCCCATGGCCCCCGCCATGCTCCCCCCCTTGCGCCCAGACCGCTTTCCCAGCCCCAGGGCGAGCACCGGGGGGAGGGACGGGGGGATGGGGGGCATGGCGGGGAAGGGGGAGGGGTCGGGGTGAGTCGGGGGGAGGGAGGAGTGCGCGGGGTGTGTGGGGGAGGGGTCAGGGGCGGAGGAGGGGGGCTGGAGAGGGGGAAGCCCTGCGGACCAGGTGAGGGGCTCGGCTGCCAGGGAGAGGCCTTCGGGGGGATGATGCAGCAGCACTGCTGCCATGCGCGGATCATAGTCCGCTGCCCACATCATCTGGGGGACGGGGGGCCCCGGGGGGAGGAGACATGGAACAGGGAGCAGGGGGTAAGCAGGAGTGTGCTTCTATGGTGCCGAGGGAGACGCCCTCGGGGGGAAACGGTGTGGGGGATGGTGCAGCAGCACTGCTGCCATGCGCGGATCATAGTCTGCTGCCCACATCATGTGCATGTGGGGGAGTCAACGGGACAAGGGATCGCAGGCAGGGAAGGGGCGAAAGCAACAGGTCAACATAGTCGAGTAATGAACAAAGCCCATACGATTCTAGTAAAACACAACACGTGCGAACGCACCTCCCACATCACAATCACATCCAGCAACGGTAGCTCCCTCCTAAAGAGCACGAGCAGCATGCGGAAGGCGAACATGAAGTTGTCGGCGCCCAGCTCCTCCAGGTGGGAGGCCAGCTCGGGGTCCACCAGCGCCACCACGTCTCGTAGCACCGCTAGCTGCCGAAGGATGCCGACCGGGCCCTCTGTCAGGAAGTTGTGGCGCTGTTGGGTTGGATAGAGAGGCAGAGGAAGGGAGGGGGGTTGGGAGGGGGGCGGGGGAAGGCGAAGCCTAGCTCGGGGTCCACCAGCGCCACCACGCCCCTCAGGACTGCTAGCTGCCGCAGGATGGCCACCGCACCCTCTGTGAGGAAGTTGAGACGCTGTGTGGGGAGGGGGATGAAAGAGG